AAACTAATAAAGGCGTATTAAATACATGTTTATTTAATTGTATTGAAATGCATTAACAACACATAGTTAAAACATACAGTAGAAACTCGTTATGTGTAAATAATTATTTTTATAACTTAATTTACAACTTTTTAGTGCTGTCTAACTAGCTAGTTAGACATTTGAAATTTTCTTATCCCAAATTGCTTTTAAATATAAAAGTTGTATTATATATTTTTGTGATCGCCTCTTAAAAACCTTTATTTTCATACCCTACCTGATAGGCTTGGAAGATTTTTTTAGACACAAATTAGCTTCTAAGATCCGCAATTTAGATTTCTAATAATATTCATATAGCCTATAACACTCGCGAACGAATCTAACGACATATGAATTATCAAAATCGGTCAAGCCGTTTGTTTAGTAATTACGAAGGAACATAAGAAATCAGACATACACAATATGTATATACAGGTCAAATACATAATTCTCCATTTGAGCTTCGACGCAGTCCGATAAAAAAAACGGCCCGGCTAAGAGTAGACAAACTATAATTGTACACAAAGTTAATATTTACAATTTTTACAGTCATTATTACGAACTATTACAATTTTTCGTTAGCTTTTCTTGCTTTCTGAAAATTCGAAATACACTTTAAACCTCTATACAAATTCTAACGAAAACTTAAAATAATTAAATAATTTTAATTTTATTCTCTACAATGAAATAGACACAAGTTTAAATCCTTGTTTTACATTTCAATATTGTAATTATTTTAATAGAGTATATCTATATAAGCTACTATTTACCTGATTTGCTTGAATTGTATGTATACAAATATATACCTACCATACGTGAATACTACCATGCGTGAATAATTTATTTTGTGTGAGAAACTAAATTATACTATGCAAATAAGCAGTGAAATGGTGAATAAGCCCCAAATAAAACCATAGTGGTGAACGCGAAGGGCTTCGTAAAGGTTAATTTTGCGGAGTGCCGAGCGACTCACATTTAGGTCCCTACGTCGTACCTGCACTACACAGCGTTCTAGCTTGCCAAGTTTGCGTTACCTAAATCGATCGAAGTACGATCGTTTTCTATATAGGGCTACTATTCCGCATAAAACCACATGGGTGACTCTCAACGAGAAGCCACTTCATTCTTGTATACTTTGTATTTTTTGGTAGACATATGCAGTAATTGTTTTTTGTTAATGAAGCAGGAGAGATATAACGCGAGTAAATGCAACAAATCGTCCCGGGTTGCTTCATTTGATGTGACACAAATTTATCCACGCCGCAGTGCTCTTTATTTTCGCCGCCGACGATGTTCACTTTGTCCTGACAAATTCATAAATTACCGACATCCTCGCGGCATAACGTATTTTGCTTTTATCTTACACACCGATGCTCCGTTCGACCGTATCGACTGTTACTTTGAAGTTGCGCTCGTTTAATTAATTGACTAGGTATGAAGTGATTAGCAAATCTAAGTAAGAATATACATATAATGCTTCTTCATTAGTTTTTTAAAGAAACAATACTATAGTATGATTTTGATAATATATGTTTTATAAATTTGACAAAATCTTAACTAAAAGAAATCATTAATAATTTAAAATTATTACATTATAGACGAAAAGTAAATAAATGGTGTACTAAGAATAACACAATAACCTATTGATAAACTCATAAATGTAGCAGTATATAATGAATCATAAGTAAAGGATAGTATGGATACATAGAGTAATGGATCATCATAAAGAATTCGGTGTCGTTAATTAACACTTAGCATACTTACTACTATGTACGTAAAGTAGATATTTTCTTCGTAGCTAACTATAAAAATATTCACCTAGCTAAAATGTATTTTCTTTAAATTATCAAAAACATTGTTAAAACGCTGACAGCTCAAATAAAACTCCATTTCAAGATAAGGCACGTTGACTCTCGACCCCGTGTACCCTTTTGTAAATGTCCTTTGTAAGCGGCCCACTGCTGAAAATCATACAAATATTTTTAAACAGCTCTACCCTTTTAGCAAAATTAATATTCATTGTCAAGCACGTAGCGGAAATGAAAAAAAGGAGATTTTTACTAATAAGTACACGGTTATTTATACAAGTATCTAAACTAAGATATTGTCAAATTAATGTTATTTCTTAAAATATGCATATTTTAAACTATTTAAATTATGTAAAATCATGCCATGTTTTGAATTAGGTACTTAGGTGTTGAATTTGCTGCAATAAACGATAATAATCTTAAATTTGACCGGACAACTTAGACAAATCGCCCTTGTATTGAACAATTTGTTGAGTAAGCTAACATTTATTTCAATTATTTGGATCTTTCTCAATAAGCATTTCCCACATTTAAATTGGTCTCAGTATACACGTGCTACGAATAATGTAGCAGGGACTACAGTACAAAATTTTCAATAGTAGATTCATTACTTATTCCTTAATTTAAGATATTTGGGACGCGGATTTGTTTCCAGACTTATTAATAATGCAAAACGTAAATTCCATACTTAATGAATACCTACATCACGGGCGGCGGCTTAGTTTGCTACGAATATACGTGGCATAAATCTATCTGCCTAATTGAAATTGTTGTTGATCTTGATTAATAGTAGTCATTACATTAGAATGGACTGTAAGTGCGTGTGTCGAACGGCTCCCAATTAAAGCATCATTGTTCCTGTGCTTAATGAAGCATGGAAGCTCGGTGCGACACGGCGGGAGTCAGACGGTAGACTCTTGCCTCTGATTGTAACAAATTGAGATTTCTTTGGTTAATATAAATAATTGTGCTCAGTCAAGTTACTCAGAAACGACGCCATCTGAGTATAGGGGATCGGAAATGAATCATTCATTTTGAATTGTCATTAATTCTTCATCATATCTTATAATGTGAGTTCAATTTTTCGATCTTAAACAAAAAAGATAATTTTTCTCTCAATTTCAAATTAGATTGGTATATTGCCGTAATACAAACTTACGTAAGTATTCCAAGTAAGTAATTGTTGAAATATTTAGAAAACTATTTATATAAATGTTTGGTAGAATACTTATTTAAAATCGTTCAATATTCCAAACTTATATTTGAAAGTTTCTCATTAAACAGGCTATCCAGCGACGAGGCACACGCATACTGCCACCATCATACAGCATTTAATCATCATTAAATTTGAATCAGCCGCTAGCGCGCTCCACTGCAGCCGCGTCAGCTGTTATTTTTGCTTGTAAACTTTTTTATTCTATGAGAGGGTTTTAGGTAGCTTTAGATTTTTTTTGCCAAAATGTTATATCAGCTTTTTGATTCTTCACAAAGTAAAGGAAAAACCGGAGCACATTTTTAAATTGAGAATAACAACCGAGCAGAGCTTGTTGATATTCAAGCAAATTATTTGCGTAGTTTGTAGTTTTAAAATATAAAAAATGTAACCTATTTTCAAATTATCTACATTATGAAAATACAAAGCAGTCTGGCCAAAAAGATCAATGTTCTTTTATGTATCGCAACCAGTTATGACAAAGCCGCCGACCCTTTTGCCTGTTGCGTTGCTTTTTGTCTACTAGATCGAGATAGACGCGTAAAATTTGATACGGGAATTATTTTATTACATCATGCTTGCACGTGCGCAGCGTGACGAATGCGATAATGTTCGACGTTGGGTCGTCCGGCATCGAACAATCACATTCCGCATGAATTAAACAAAATGGTGATGCTGTTGCAGAGATTGTGGTAATTTGTACCCGGCGTGAATAACATCACAAATTTAAAAAGATTTTTTTTATATGTATCAATGTAAATTGTGTGCACCGTGACTGCTTCCAGTCGATGAGGTAACTCAACCCGAGCGCCACCGCGCGTCATCCATGACGTCGCGTGCGTTCTCCCCTAAATCCCCCCAGGCATTCTGTACCGGATATCAGTTTCCTAAACAAAACAGGGCAATTGTTAATAGCATTACTTCCCATAGTGAATATATATATATATATATATATATATATATATATATATATATATATATATATATAGAATATTTTTTTATTCTTATGATTTGATTCTATATATGTATTTTACAAATATATAACAAAATTCCAGTAATTTAAGAATCTGAAATCTGAATATTGTATTGTATTTGATATTCGTATGTATGTAATATTTCGTGTATACTGTATATAGGTATAATAGTTATAGACTAGGACTACATATATGTAATACGAAAATAAAATAAGATACAATATTTTAGAATATTACTCAAATTACCTTAAATATTTGTAAAATACCTATACACAAATTTTAATCATATTTCTATCTACCTAATACTTAAAGTAAACTGAAATAAAACGTTTCATTTTTGGCAATAATAAATATAATCAAAGAAACTCACTCTATAGCTATTAATAGGATTTCATTGAATATACTCAGTAAGTAACTATGTTTGTTACCTCCTTATTATTTATCCTCCCTTACAATATTATATCATAAACGGTAAAGAAAATAATCGTTTGTCCTTGGGTGAGCGCAACGTCAATGAAATTTAATATCCCGTTGACGATAACCCAGTTACTGTAATACAAGCGTGTATAAAAAGTTGCAAGTACGAACACGACATCCCTCGCTAAACGGAGGGCAAAGGTAGTAGTACCATTTGCCCGCCCGCCACTGCCGCACGTAAGCTTCTTGACTCAAAATCTATGATATTGTACACGCACAACTCTATAAATACTCTATTGTTTTATCACAATTGATACACTTACGCTATTTATATTTTTAAACTTTAAAAGAAAAAACATGTATTACTTTGTAAACGTAATATCAGAATATATTTTAGAAGCAATTACTATGCTGCACTTCAAGCTTATATTTTTTTTTGTTGCAGAAAACTTAAAAAATATTTCAGCGATCAGCTTTTAAAGCTTCATTAATGTTAACAACTTATTACCTACTATGAGTTTATTTGTTGACTTGAGACAAATCAAATCTTCAGTGTCGAATTTATCGGAAATGGTAGACAAAATATCGACTTCTGTTGGGAAAGAAAAATTGCACCAAGAGCGCAAAAAGAGTATAGACTCTGCTTTGTATGGTAGTTCTATATACAAGCCGACTAATTTAGGGTTTGGCGTGCGTTTTTCACAAAGCCAGGAAGACATTTATCATGATATGCCTTCTTCTAGATTACGTAGTCATATATCTCTACCAAATTTAGGTAAAACAGATCATAAAATTCCATCATCGCAACCAAAAATTGTTGAAATTGATAATGACAAAGATGAAGACGAAAAGAAAGGTTTAAATCAAATATCTACTGAAAATATTAATGATTGGATAATAGCATCTCTAAACAAGCGGCCATATTTTGACGACAGTGGACATGTTCATCCAATGGACTTTCTAGAAAATGTCAAGTACTATATTACAGAATTAAATATAGCTGCCGAAAAACAACTTCCTTTCATTATTTCGTGTTTAGAAGGACTTCCGCTTATGTGGGTTCGGTGTTTTAGAAATGAATTTAAAGATATGGAAGAGTTTTATGACGCTTTTGAAAAAGAATTTTGGAGTTCAGACAAGCAAAAGTCTATCCTGTATGATATGAAACTGGGGAAATATGATGAAAATAAATCGCGCATGTCCATGTCAGAATATTTTTTATATAAAGTCTCTAATTATAAACACCTTAATCCTCCACCTTCGGATTTGGAAATCGTGTATTCTTTAGCAGCACATTTTCCTTCTGCTGTTGAACTAGAACTACGTCTGACACCGAAACCTACATTACGAGAGGCATATAGCTTACTTCGACGAAGAGAAGGCGAAGCGAATGACTTTCTGCCTAATTACTTGTATGAAATGTGCGAAGCTTTCCAACGTGGATCTCGATTAGACTCACAACCAGTGCGGCGTACCAATGATCAATGATCATCGCAGCTCTGAAGTGCAAGATGAAAAAAAATGTACTAAATAACAACTACTTAGGTTTTTTATTTCATAAAAATAATAATAAAAAAAGCTATCAATCAATTTCTAGTAATCTACAAGTATTTATGTATAACGTTTCATAAATTATAATATATAAATTATATAAGTATTCATTATATACTGTAACCATAATATTAGTAATTAAAATATTGTAATTAGTAAAAGCTGTTGAAAAAGTTTATTACGGGAAGTAAATAAACGTAGTAAAAAAGAATTTATTGTATTTTTTATTGTCCAATAGTATTAAATCCATATTATATTACGAGTATACTGTATACTTATTACTCGTAACATAATATAGGTTGAGGCCTATGTAATGAGTCACATACTAATACAAAGAAAAAACAGAATTAAGTCTGTTAAAAGTAATTAATATACTTACACATACTTATTTATTTTTATGGGAGATCTCTAATAAAATATATATTTCACTTTGTAGAGCTCTTCATGAAAGCTTAGGCAATTGGACGGAGAACGACTGCATAGAGGCCAGAAAAAGGGGAGCTCTGTGGAGCGTGCAGGCCCGTGTATGCCGACGCCAGCCTGCTGCCATGCCGCACGTAGCGGCCGCGGCGCGCCTTGCACGCGCTGCCTGCTTAGCTGCACACGCCGGCGAGAGATGGAACTGCTCCTCCATTGAACTCGCTCCTAAGTTTACACCGGACCTATTAACGGGCAAGTTTTAGACTTAGTATCTAAATATTTATGTAACAAAAAGATTTAAATAAAATATTTTTTATGCGTGTCGCTCTATGTAGATAAAAAAAAATAAAGGCTAAAGTGAACTGTACAGACAAAGCTGTTTTTGTATACTTACTCTGTTAAGATAGATCTTCAGGAGGTAGGTTATATAATAGTTTTTGTCATGGAACACCGTTTTAAGAAAATCTGAAATGTACATGAAAATACATATAGTAGGTATATAGGGCGTAGTGCCCTAATACGCCCTAAAGGGTTATGTTCCCGAAATATTTGGAGATACGGCTTATCAGAGTTATATACGTACATAAGTTGAAACTGTAGCTTGTACAAGTGTACATATATTTCCTGTGACAGAATAATAATTTGGTATCACCGCGCTAATCTAACGAAGGAACCAGGCGTAGGTTAGTAGGTACGTAATGATTTTTTAGTTTTTAGTAAACCGCTAATTTAAACATATCTATAGAGCTCCGGGTTAACTTGGAAGTTTTACTGTACAAATAACTTTACTGGATATACGAATATATTCATATTTTATCAGTTTCCATTTACACAATATAATAATATGTAACTAAATCAACAATTCTCAATGCTTACTCCATTTCTATTAGTTCCATATAAGTTTCTTTATAAATCTGTCCTACGGGTGAAATCCATTCCGTCTAGGACGACTAAAAGGACTACCGACAATAATGACAGATAAGAAAAGGCAAGTTTGCCGAGTCTTTTACATCAGCGGCAGGGTATTGTGCGGGCGCGGCCAGCGTAACGACAGAGCCCTTTCTTTTCACCCGTCGCCTCGTTCCGCACTCAGCGCTCTTTATTTATATGCAACGTTCACATTTATTTATCGCTTTTCGGGCAATTAATTTTTGAGTAATTCCGTTGTTTTACGTATTCAAATTAAAAGGATATCTAGAGAAGATAAATAGGTTTATAAGGTGCAAAGTGTAATGAATGAGTTTATATATTTTTCCCGTACCTATATAATGCAAGTTAGTAGTACGTACATATTCATTTTTTTATATTAAAACTAGCATTGCCCGCGGCTCCGCCCAGATGACCAAAAAACAAATTCTTAGGTTTTACATATTAGTATAGTCTTACAATGCAGTTTTTGTATTGTTTCTCAGAAATGAGATATTTTCCCGCGGTAAAAAGTATCCTATATGTTGACCCGGATAACCAGCTATCATCATACCAAATTTCATCAAAATCTATCCAGTGGTTTTCCCGTGATGCGGTAACAGACAGACAAACAGACAAAAATTCTAAAAACTATAGATTCGGGCTCTGTATCGATAATAAAATCTATTTCAATAAGATTTTGTAAAAAATATTTAATGTACGGATTCGGCTTAGAATTTTATTATATGTATGGACTACCATCAAAAGTAATATTATAATAGAATCTTGATAGAGTTCTTAATGAAAAGAACTCGAAGACAAAGCGGAGAATGTCCGCTATATAGACATAGATCATTTGATAATATGTCAGTACCTATCATTGTTAGCGAAAGCTTTGGACCCTCTATCTAACCGGTAGATGTTACATTCGTCAAATAAACAGTTGCAAAACAAACAAAGCATAAACAAATAACTATAGTTTTGAAACATCACGTGATCATTACCTGACATTATCCTGGCACGAACTTGCTTACTGTCTCTTTCCTACAGTAATAATAATATATCATGGCATTAGTTTTGCGTTCGCTCGCCAATAAAGTTACTTGTACACGAATTTGCGAATTTTTTTAACGTTTTCTAAAGCTTTCAAAACAAGTACGTTAAAGACAAAAATTGGTCGTACTAACTTTCCTGATACATTATGGATATGGCTATAAATATTGCGTTTACCATCGCTTCCGTGTGTCTCTATTGATCTTCCTTTAAAATTACAGTTTAGAACTTTGCGTGGCAACAATAAATACATAATACACGAACTGCTTTTATTTCTGTTCTTTTAACAGTTGTTGGTGTTAAGTGAAAAAAAAAACATATTATTTTTGGTATATTTACACTAAATAAAATAAATACTGTATCTAGTAACTGTCAAGTTCACGACTAAATACAATTTATTATCATTAAAACTTTCTTCAGAGTCACTATACTACAGTACAAAGCAAAGAATAAGAAAGTAGACGGCGGAAGATGTTTTCCTAGTTTCAGCATGCTCTGCGACTTTGTGTCGCTGGCAGCGATCGCCGTACCGGATGCTCGCCTATATAGTAACTACCTACAGAACACGAACCGTAGCTTGGTAGCATCTAGCGACTGAACTCGTCTACCCACTTTAGGAAATTAATTGACAGAGAATGTTGTCTCTTACAAACAAACAAAACCGTTAGAAATCTTTCGAGTGCTCTTCACTTGATACATTTTAATTAAAACTTTCCTGAAGTGAATATTGTTTGTGGTCGCTATTTTCAACTTAAATTTGTCTTTTACTCACTAAATAATAGGTATACTTTTGAGTTTATTAATGGATCAAGCAAAAAGTATTTGTTACTTCGTATCTATTCATATAAAAAAATCTCCAAATATAAAAAAAAAACTGATAAGCTCTATTAAATCGAATAATTAGGAATTATTAAAAACAAAGTGGAAATAAATATCAATGGAAGTAAATACTATGTATATAGGTATTTAAATAAATACTATGTAAGCTAAAGAAGTAAATACTATGAATTGGATAAATTAAAATTAAATCAGATAATATATTATAGAAATGCTTGATACGAACTCTATACTTACCTATGTATATGTATACTAGCGACTCACCTTCGCTTCGCTCGGGTTCGTCCCTAGGATATGTATACAACTTTTCTATTTGAATCGGATATTATTAAATTTTTCATTGGTTTTAATTTTTGTCGTGGGACCCTATTTTTTATCTGCTATCTGCCAGTGAAAGTCCCGTCAAAATCGGTCAAGCCATTTCATGGATTAGTCGGAACAAACAAACAGAGAGACAGACAGACAGACAAAAATTGTAAGAAAAATTGTTTTGGTATATGTACCGTGTATACATTCATATGCATTTAGTAAAAAGCTGTTATTTTGATATTACAAACAGACACTTCAATTTTATTTATCTGTATAGATAATACAGTATACACATTTGAAAATGATTTAATTTTGATTAAATAGTCCTCAATAACCATGGAAAATTTAGCATTTAGTAGAACATCAACTAACAACAGTAGAAAATCAAACTAAGAAGGTAGTGGTCCATCCGTCTAAACACTCACGTTTTTTTTCCATGGAAAAGATAGCCTTATTGAGTCGACTCTACATTCGTAGCGATCCTCGAAAGCTAGGTTTGCAGTAAATTTTACAATTTCGGTAACTCAACTGGTCACCTAGATCTTATGAGAATATCCACTTTGTAATATAGACCGTAACTGATCGTATGACAAAGACTTTTCTTGTTGAGCTTAAGTTAAGAAGTGAAATTACATTTATTTATTTGTTGAACTACGATTAATCATGCGTCTTTACGAATAAACTTCAGGCGATTATATAAAATACAGTCGTTAGTCAGTCAGCCTTTTAAATGAAATTATTATATCAAATATGTTCTTTTAAAAATTTAAGGGTCCATAAAACCATTAACGTATAATAACATAGATACGCATTTCCTAACAAATATTTTATCAAAAAGTGGCGTCGTCTTAACGTAACATGGTGCGTTTTAATTTTGTCACCCGAAAGCGCAATTTCGAATTATGCACTTCTTCTCGAGGACACTTTTGAGACACTAATTATAACCTACTAGCAGAACCCGCGGCTTCGCGCGTGCTAAAACTACAAAAAAAAACTCTAAAATGGTAGGTTTCATACCAACTTTCATCCGCTATTTTACCCTCTTAAAGGATAAATTTTGAAAAATGCTAAAACACGTATTTAATTAATTGTATTGAAGAGCATTAATACCAAGTTTCATGTGATTCTGATCATAAATATTTTTTTGGATTATATTATAACGTGTTTTCTCGTGGGAAAGAGATAATCTCCCGCGGTAAAAAGCCTAGCCTATGTTACTCTCCAGCCCTCCAACTATCTCCACACAAAAAATCACGCTAATCCACCAAGCCGTTTCGACGTTGAAGAAAGAGAAACAAACAAACACACTTTCACATATTTTATAATATTAGTATGGATTTATGAAGCTTCTTCAAGTTAAATTACATTTAGATATATCTGATTATCTTTATTTCCACGGATTCTTATATCATAAAGAACATTATGATACTTAAATAATAAGTTTATAACTTATGAAAAATTAAAAAAAATGTCTCTGCATACAGCCGGTAAGAAGGCTAACATAAATATTAAAGAATAGCAACATTATACATAAGTATTATCTAGTTAGGTGCCTCATCCTTTAGATTAAAGCCTTACATCACTCAGCAAATCTCTGTCGACGTCTGGATTTATTATATTGTAAGTTATCGTAGGTCTGGTAAATGAAAGAGGATCGATGATATCTATCAGATTAGGGTTGTGATACTGTGAAAAGGACAAAAGATTTAATTACACGCATGAATCAAACGTACCGGTTAGATAGAGGGTCCAAAGCTTTCGCTAACAATGATAGGTACTGACATATTATCAAACGATCTATGTCTATATTTCATTTATTTCATTTAATTCGTCTTCGAGTTCTTTTCATTAAGAACTCTATCAAGATTCTATTATAATATTACTTTTGATGGTAGTCCATACATATAATAAAATTGTAACTAAGTCAAATCTGTACATTAAATATTTTTTGGAAAATCTAATTGTAATAGACATTATTATCGATACAGAGTCCGAATCTATACTTTTTAGAATTTTTGCCTGTCTGTCGGTCCGTCTGTTACTGCATCACGAGAAAACCACTGGACAGATTTTGATGAAATTTGGTATGATGATAGCTGGTTTTCCGGATCAACATACTTTTTACCGCGGGAAAATATATCATTTCTGAGAAAAAATACAAAAACTGAATTGTAAGAGTATACTAATATGTAAAACCTAAGAATTTGGTTTTTGGTCATCTGAACGCGGGCGGAGCCGCGGGCAATGCTAGTTATTTAATATATTTAGAACATAAAAGTAGGTAAATATTTAAAGTGTCTTAGTGATGTCGGAGTCTGAGTTGTAAGTTAGATAATTTACCGCTCCTATTATATCGATTGTGGACCTGGCAAGTTCACATTGTACATTAAATATTTTTTGGAAAATCTTATTGAAATAGACATTATTATCGATATAGAGGCCGAATCTATTGATTTTAGAATTTTTGTCTGTCTGTTACCGCATCACAGAAAAACCACTGGAGAGATTTTGATGAAATTTGGTATGGTAATAGCTGGTTATCCAGGTCAACATTAGAGAGGTAGGTACATACAGGATACAACATAAAGGATACTTTTTACCGCGGGAAAAAATCTTATTTCTGAGAAAAAATACAAAAACTGGTTTAAAATAAAACAATGACGATACTAAATATATTTGAGCATGGTAACTTACCAGATAGGGCAAAAACTATTAAAAATAGCTTATCTTGAAAAAAAACAATAGCGCTATTTTATTTCGTTTTTGGTCATCTGAACGCGGACGGAGCCGCGGGCAATGCTAGTCTATTAAATAAAATCTTAAGATGGCAAAAACATTTCATAATACATGGATTATATATAAGTTTAAGTACTACATTAAATATTAACTAGTGTCTTTAGACAGGCAGTTCATAGTCTTTTTTATACCTAATGATTCACGTCGAACTAAACTAAATTGCTTTCTTTATAGATACAACATGAAAAACTTTTTGTACGTAAACAGACTTCAGAACACAAAAAGTAAGAAATAACTGAACGGGGATTTTCGTTTTAAATAGAGAATTAATTATTTCTTTTGGAGTCAGTGCCAGAGGACTCAAAGGAAAATATAAATAATCCATTAAGATATGAATGTACGGCAGTAACTGTAATGGTAATAAAAATATTCAACACCAATTTGTGATGTATGTCATATCACTATGTACGTACATTGTAGGTACATAAATATATCTAAAAATCTAAATAGATTTTCTTCGCCTTGCGAATTTTTTGAGTTCCCAATATTTTAGAACTGTTACCAGCCCCCAATAGGTAAACGGGTATGAATGTAGGTATATTACGTTAATAATAGCATATTGTAATCTATTCTATACATATAATAAAATGGTAACTAATCCGAATCTGAAATAAACATTATTATCGACACAGAGGCCGAATCTATAGTTTTTAGAATTTTTGGCCGTCTGTCTGTCTGTCTGTTACCGCATCACAGTAAAACCACTAGAGGGATTTTGATGAAATTTGGTATGGTGATAGCTGGTTATCCGGGTCAACATACGTATAGGATACTTTTTACTGCGGTAAAATGTCTCATTTCTAAGAAAAAAACAAAGACTGCAATGTAAGAGTATACTAATATGTAAAACCTAAGAATTAGTTTTTTGGTCATCTGAACGCGGGCGGAGCCGCGGGCAATGCTAGTTATGTATATAACTGAGTATAACTTTATACCTTAGAAATTAATGCAAGGTTATTAATTTATATTCTTTAAAAGTTATAGGTACCTATAACCTATATAAAGTTATTTATTTTGACATAGACATTTTTTTAGATATATGTATTTTGCTTTTCCTTATAACAACTTAGGTAAGTATCAGTTTTAAGAAATTCAATCGCTAAACGGTTTAAAAGAGTCAAAGTATTATACGAGCACCATTATTAACAAAAATAAGTTTATACTTAATCGATTTTTATTTGTGATGTAACTACAAATTTTTTACTTGTGTTATAAGACTTTGCTTCTTGCAAAATTTCATTATTCTAGGTAATCAGGAAGTTGGAGTTGTCTGTTTTCAAGCTCGATATTTAAAATTATTTCAGTGACACTTTTAAATATAAATTTTCGGCTTTTTTACGTGACCTAGAAAAAATGTGTACCTACCTCTCTAACGTTCGTACATGTATTGCTCTTAACCTAAATAAAACGAAACTTGCATTTAAGAACAGGTAATTTTATACTTTACATTTTGCTATTTCTCTACATGGCATTTATAGGTTTTAACGTTTTTGTTTTGTGAAAGTAACAACAGGAAGTATTCTAGGTACTTAGTCTTGTACATGTCTGTAAAGGAGTGTGTAAAAAAAATCTGCAGTAGAAAATATTTTTTCAAAATGGTATTAGATTTAGCACACTTAAATTAATGCAATAAGTACACCCATCCCACATAGATAAATTGGTTCAGGCAATATTTGCATTAAAGTTAGTTATTGGTTCAGGCAATATTTGCATTAAAGTTAGTTTAAAAAAATTAAAACAAGGTTTTATAGGGTTTTTAATATACTTAATTAAAAGCTTGTTTACAAAAATCACAGCTTTTTAGTTTTGGTCAGTCAGACATTTTTAGTTTTATTTACAACTCTTATCCTAAATTATGTTTAAATATATAAGTTGTATATATTTTTGTAATCGCCTAGTAAAAATCTGTATTTTGATACCCCACTCAATAAATTCGGACGAAAAACTTTTTTTCAAGACCCAAAAAATGATCACCAAAATTGGTTAAGCCGTTTAGTATACTACGAGGAAACCTAAGATCGGATAAACAAACATATATAGGTACATGTCAAACACATATCCTTCCTTTGGGCTTCGCCGCAGTCGGATAAAAATACATAGCTTCCATTTAAAAAACGGTTGAGTGGACCTAAAGAAACAGCTCTTATATTAAGTAAAGGGTATATTTAGAGGTGATCGGACTAAATAAAAAGATATATTTGACGGGAGCCCGAAGGTTAGTTGTTAAATCATATTTTAGAATGGTACGGAAACAAAATTTTCCTTTGCAACGTATTTGTAATTAAACAAGTAATTAATAATTACATATACCTACACCATAGAGCCTAGAGTTATCTTATTTACATGATTTGCTTTCAATAAATCCACTTTTAGGCACTCGTGAGCAAGCTTACGTGTATGCGATGTCAGCGGCGGCGCTATCATGGTCGATAGCGCGTGCTTGCGCCGCGGGCGCTCTCGCCGCGTGCTCGTGTGCGGCGCCGCCCCGCGCGCCGCCGCGCCCGCCGCGGCAGGCCGTGCCGCCTGAACCACAGGCACGGTTTAAGTGGGGTGGATGTGGGGATAACTTTCAATGGGCTGAGAGGTAAGAAATTGATGGAAATGCACCACGCGTGAGAGTCACAGCAACTCACTTTATACCTAAGATCTATTGAGTACTGGCGACTTACCCTCTCTTCGCTCAGGTTCATCCATATGTACGTTTTGACGCTTAATATGGAATAGATTTGTTTTTCAATTATTTTTTTTGGGAATTTTCACCATGTTTTAATAGTTATTCTTCTATTCGGGGTGAAGACAAATCCAATAAAAAAAGATCATAAAAGGTCCAGCAGTTCTCGAGTTATAAGTGTGTAACAAACCCGACTTTGTTTTACATAGATATACGAGTATAATATGTATATAGATATCATTTAATTTTGTTTACTCGGAACAATTAGTCGCTAATTAAGGTGTACACTTTATTAATTGGTTTCAAAGATAGAAAATATATACCCAATTAGTATCTTCAAGGACTTTTTAATCTGTTTTGGTCTATACAGACTCCTGAGTAACGATTTATACTTTACAGATTTGCCAAACAGTTTCTGGATACACATGAAATAGACGTACGCGATGGCAGAATAGAAGATGAAATTATCGACTTCGAAACGACTACGGAAAAACCGACAACTACCGCAGAACCAACCACAGCGCCACCAGTAGTCATCCTTGTTGATGATCAACCGGCACCGGCAAATACTAGCATGGCGCCCAGGAGGAAGGGCAAGAGAGGAAAAAAACGTCTTCCACGATCTCCACGCAGAGGGCGACCTACAAGAAAAAGATTCAGATCTAGGTAAGTGTAGGGAGAACGTGTTCCATTTACGGACAATTGTCCGTAAATGATATTTGGCAGTTTCTTCTTAACCTAGATTTAGGTTTTTTTTGTAATACGTTATAACATTTCTTCTTTGCTTATAGTAAACTATAATTTTGATTTTTTAATGAAACATAATATATGTCGAAGTCTAAAGTACCTAAGGGTTATTTGCGATTAGTATGCCTAGTTCTATCTACAAAAGTTGATTTTATGTGGCATATGATAGTTAGCATTTCCGCTCATGGACTTGCGATTACTTAAGTGGAAAATTAGCATCAATATAATATTTTCTTAGCACTCTTATAAGCCTTCTATACTTTAGATACGATTATGAAGATGACGAGAAAGAATACCAATATCGAAATATTGAGTACCGAATGGCTGCGGACGACCCCCGCTTTGATCCACAAGTGGACCTGCACACGCGCCTTCACCACCTACGAACTCTTATTGCTTCTGCTAACTTGGTCAATAACCGATTTGGAAGAAGAGTATGTATATTTTTGAACTTTTTCTTATTGTTCACTTTTCATCAGGGTTTTGTAGCCAAAACGAAAAGCGGATTCCTAACTATGTCATATTCGTCTACCCGTATGTCACAGCTTTTACTCGGAGACTATTGGAAGTATCTATATAACTGAAATATGATAAATAGGTCTCATGTAAAATTTTGAAGTGTGGGATGGGAAATTCTGAATAAAATTGAGATATTAGTTTTTAAAGTAGATAATATATCTACACCTGACCTAGTTTCTTCATAGACCCCTTCTATTCTTGAGTTCTATATTCAATAACACATTTGACATACAGGTAGTGTCACAAGGTATGCGCACCAAGTGCACTTGCCACGGCGTGTCGGGCTCGTGCTCGGTGCGCACGTGCTGGCGCGCGCTTACCGCACTGTCCCGCGCCGGCGCCGCACTGGCGCGCGAGGCGGGCCGCGCCGCCGCGCTGCCGCCGCGCGCGCCGCGCCCGCGCCCGCTGCGCCGCGCGCGCTCGCGCCTGCGCTACGTCACGCCCAGCCCGGACTACTGCGAGCCGGATCCGGCGGCCGGCTCGCTGGGCACTCATGGCAGGTCAGTTGAATAATTAAGTTAAGTAGTAGCTAAGACTTGCTTCCTTTACTATTTGTCCATAGGATGGGTAGGTAGTGTACAGAGTCGGGACAGCCCCCCAACGTGCGTTCACCTTGTCGTGGTGGGGGGCTCAGTAGTGCCCGGCAACCCAACCGGGCGCGAAGCTAAGAAACGCACAGGGAGGTTGCCCACTTCGGTGGGCGGTGGGAGGTGGCCCTCTTTGGGGGGCGGTGTACCATGCGGGTTGCTCCTGGCACTTCTCTGATAGCAGAGTGGACTGTGGAGCAACCCCATGGTTGTGGTGGTCTGCTTCGGCAGACCTGCCGTCGGGGCGTCGTAGTTGAATGCGTAAGCGATCCTGCGACGCCCCATTAAGACGGGGGAAGGTTTTGTTGGGTTTTAGTGGGTAGTACTGGCTGTATTACGCCGGTGAGTCCCACACGTCGTGCGTAAATGCATTTCCCAACGTTAAAAAAAAATAATAATAATAAAAAAATAAAAAAGCCAACGCTACAATTATGACATGTAAAGCATTTGAATTTTTGATTTTTTTTTCATATTGTGATGTTGTCTAAATAACCAGTCGTTCAAGGCTTTAGTTTACCAATCTATGAAAATGATTTTAAAGCACTTTTAAATTTAATTATAAACTAAATAAATTACATTTTTTTCTGCTTTCTAGGTAATTTTTTTATTCAAATTTTATCTACTAAAATATCTTCGTAATTATCTATAAAAAAAAAATGTGTTAACCACGTGTCCGTGGTCCCTAATGCAATCTCATTTTGCTTATCTCAATTCTTCTCATCACGCCTCATAATAATTAAAAAAAACGCTTCAAAAATCATACAAAACATAGCATCTAGTACTTACCAGTATCCGAGTGTACAATACAATAAGTACCAAACACGACGGTGTGCGGGCAGGAAGTGCAACGCGTCGCTGGGGCAGGGCGCGGGCGGCTGCGCGCGGCTTTGCTGCGGGCGCGGGCGACGCGCGCTGCGCGCGGCGCGCCTCGAGCGCTGCCGCTGCCGCTACCACTGGTGTTGCCGCGTCGACTGCCAGCTGTGCCGCGTCACCACAGAGGAGCACTACTGCAATTGATCTCCATAGGACACTATCTCCTACAAACGCTTAACAAACCACACTATAAAATCCACATTTAAAAGGCGGTCACACATAGACTTTAATGGAACTGCTATCAACTGCAAGGGTTGTCAAAAATATTAATGTACGTGGTAAATGGTTTCAAAATTAAAGTGCTGAAGTGCCATCTCATGGCAAGTAAACAGTTATTTCCGTCAAATTTAAAAACCGTTTCTCGAAGTCACATACAAACGTATACAACCACTCGCTGCTTTACTGATACTGACACAATGTAATATATCAGTCTACTAATCCATACAGTCGTCTAACGAAGGCCTCTACACAGTGGCATGCTAGTCTGGTGAGGCGCACCGGACTGTTATAGGTACTTACTTTTAAATGACAATTGGAAAAGAGCTTTAGGGTTGACAGGTATAATGTAACTTCCCATGCCTCTGTACTTTTGACAACCCTTGTACGTATTTTCGTTATAATCAAAGGTGATTGCCTACTGTGTGGATTTCTGTACTGTGGTAATATGTAAGTATGTTAAAGAAACTATTCTACAACATAATATTAAACTACGATCCAACACTTATCAACTCTTTTGTTTAAGCAAGCTAGGGGTTGGTCTTCAAAACCTTAATGCGCCTCCCTAACAGCTGTTTACCGTTAATACATTATAATAATATATTATAATTAAAATTAATTTTAACTTAAATAACTTGTATGTTTTTAAATTAAACTGAATTACTATGTTCGAAATTGTCTGTATATTTGCATTTTATATACAATTAACTAGACACTATCATTTTTTGGAACTTTTTAATCTAATACTTTTGATAAATATATTTCAATCTTATTTAGTAATCTGTTATAAAATACTTATATATTTTTATAAATTACACGTTTATAAAAAATAATATAACCTGTCAGATTTAGGATCACTAATTACCAAAGACAATTTACATTTCGCGTACAACTAGAGGCTAGTCATTTAAATATCTTAAGCATGTTTAATGTAAAAATAGTTTGATGTTACTCTAGTGCTATTAATAATATAGTATAGTAGCTCCTAGAACTTTACTATGCCAAAATGTAAGTTGAAAGGATGGGTGTTTGAAAGAACAAGAGATGTGTTGCTACGAGTACTGATTTAATAATAATGAATGAAGTGTTACAAACTTGACTCTATTTATACCTACTTACATCTACACCACAACACATCATGACATAAAGAATTCTTACTCTAACTAAGAGTGGCTAATTCAACTCAATATCTGTAAAATATATTGATAATATTATTTTCAAATCCCAAATATCTGATCAACGAATTATATTTACGAAGTAGAGACTCCAGGTATGTTTAAATATTTTTGAGCGGAACCCTAATTCTTTTAGCAAAATAAAAAGAGCTAAATTATTTCCTATAACAACATCAGCTATCTACCAGTGATAGTCCCGTCAAAATCAGTACAGCTGTTTCGGAGATTAGCTGAAAAAATCAGTCATACAAACAAAAAAAAATAATTTTGTGTTTTTCGTGTAAGTACCGTATATAATATCATATGCATTTCGTAAAAAGCTATGAATTTGACATTACAAACAGACATTTCAATTTTATTTATCTATATAGATTATTTTGAAATCCCAAACAAATATCTGATCAATGAAATATAATCACGAATAAAGTTAAAATTTATATTTTGTCAAATTAATTAATTCTACTTTAATAATAGAACTTATAAGTTATATATTAGGATTTACAGATTTTTCAATACCTAAAGTCTGTTCTTCTGTACATTTTGACATATTAAAGTTGACATACAAATAATAAATGTAGTTATTTTATAATATAAAAATAAATACTCAATTTTGTCGTTTTATGAAATTCTATTTAAATACCAACATAGACGCTCCCTGGAAAACATGTAATATTAACAGTTATTACAGATAACAATTTAAAAATAGTTATAATATTTCATTCTTTTTATTTAAATATTATATTTAAATTCTAACTGGCTTAAATATAGTTGTTCATAATGTTCAGTGTATAAAATACATTCACAATTTGTAGACTAAATAATAAATAATGTATTATCAATGAATAATTTTCCACGAAACCTAAATATTTTTATCTTTTTTAATTATATGGAAATTTTATTATTACTATGACAATAAAAATATGTAAAGTTAAAAGTATATATATATATATATATATATATTGCTTTGCATATTATATTATTTAGAATCTCTTTAAATCTGTATATAAGTTACTAAATTATCCAATCAAAGTTACTAAATATATGTAAACTTGTAGTGAGTAGGACTAGTGGTTTATAAATTACAATGCATAGAATTAGAATTTATAGTAGGACGTTTTAAAATAATATCACTGTCTAACATTGTAAATAAATCTGTACTTAAACTTAATGATGCTTTCATTTTAAAATAAGCTTCATACATCCCCATTCCATAAAAACCTCTAAACTTCATAAATTTCATTCATTCACACTATCTGAAATGCCTATTTTTAATTTCATTTTTGTTTGAAATACTTTCAGGTTAAACTTATAATAAACAATTATAATAAAAAGACTTAATAAATTTCTTATCATGTTTATTCACAACTGTTTCGACTTTATAATAATTTTACAAACAAATCCATTGCAAAATATTTCATATTATCTAGTGATGAGTCAATGTAAGTGAGATATATATTTAATACAAGTTACCTGCGAGTGTTGGAGATGGGATCCATTGGAGGTAAAAACATAGCTCTTACTAGTACCAAATAGTACAATTTTATTATCATTCTCACTTTCAATTTTATATTATTCACACAAAAAAAACTGTGCAAAATAAGCAGAACAATATGTAACAATGATATTACAAACAAATGTGACTGAAAACAATTTCTTAGAAAATTAATTCGGGAACTCTTATCCTGTACTCGTCCATATTGACATCGCCTAGTTTAAATAATAACATCACTTAGCCTTAAAAATGTTTACATAAAATTTTAACATACAAATTGTGAAGAAAACCTGTATTTGGTCTATAACACTGGGATTATTTTGGGAAATACATATAAGTGCAAAATAAAAACAAATGGAATTTAAAGAACAATATTTACAAAAAAGGGAAATATGGTATTGATTTAAGCTACAAAAATAAAATTTATTCTTATAAGCATTCTTAGTTGTAAATTCACTCAGAACATTCATCTATAAACATACAACCAAATTGGAATTACAAAATTTAAATTACAATATCTTATGATGCAGTCTCATCATAACTCTGTATGCGTGTGCTCCTCATCTGTAACCAAACAACAAACATAATAAGTTAAAATACAAAACTAAATATAAATAAAAATTGCTTTGTGATATTTATTTAGAAAGCAAATAACTTTTAATTAAATGAATTTGCAAAAATATGAAAGTTTTTAATTTTTATTTTTACTTTAACTTACCTGTGGCACTTTTTGTTCTCACGACTTCTTCATTATGTTCACTATCGATTTCCTGTAGAAATAAAAATATCTTAGAAAAAATGTCATTAAATTATGGATTATCAAAGTTTTATAGGAATTATAATATCTGTCGACTGTGATTATTTTTAAAAGTGAACGTTTCGTTTTCTATGGTTTAACACCATTGGATTTCATATTGAGTGATACTTTGATATTAATGACCAGAAAAAACTGCCATAAGGCTCCATTTTTTCGATATGGCGGCGCGAGCAGCAAAGATAAGAGGTGGCAAAATTGAAATTCGGAGAAAGCACATCGAAATCTAAAAAATCACCAATTTTCAAAACACCCGTAAAACTTTCCAGGTAATCTCTTTTTCGAGCACCAAATACATAGTGCAGTCTACTATTAGTTTAACACGCGACGAGAGGTGCTCACCTGGTCGCCGTCCGCGTGCTGGTAGAGGCCGCGGCGCACGCGCGCCTGCAGCGCGCGCACCTCCTCGTCGTAGTGGCGCCACTCGGGCACGATGCGCATCGCCGCTGACAGCTTCGCCTCTTTCGTCATCGGGTTGTTGCACTGCAACATTCATTATATATAATACACTCGATTACTCGATATCGATTGAGTCAGAGATTGAAAAATATTGATGTTTTTATATGTGGTTCTATTTTATTATATTTTCTTGGTTACGTTTATTGTAAGTGTTTAATAATTAAAAACAAATTAATTGCACTAAAATAATTTGATTTTTTACTATCATTAAATATAATATACGATACATTACTGGGAACCCAATTAAGCAGCTAAAGCTATTCTTTAACACACTTACAAGCTATGCTTTAGGTACTTAATGCAAGACCTCCGGATCTGCAGCCGTACATGTTAGGCACTAGACTACCAATAATGTATGTACATAACAAACATCACATAATTTGTTTTTGAGAACTTTATAGGCAAATGTAAAAATACTCTGAAAGGAAATGTTCTCATAGATCTGAAAACTTGAAATAAATTTAATGGATCCACGGGTCAGCTACGGGAAAGCTTCCCGTATTCCCGTACATCGGGCGAACAGTCACTTCGTTTTAAAACACTACATTGACGCTGGAATCTTACCAAATCTATAGTCTTTGCATACTGCTTAGAGTTGTCGTCGCACCAAGTCTCACACCACAGCCACTCTTGTGGAAGTGACTTAATAGCAACCTGGTGAATCATATTGTTCGGCAAGTCTTGATCTGTAAAATAAAAAAATAAATAAAATATATTCTTTCAGTTTTGATTTTAATATTTCTTTTTTATTTAAATCACATATCTGTCTATATAAATATGTATTTGTGATATCTATTTTTCTTTATAATTGCACATCTAATTAATGCATATAAATTGACATGTTTATTTCATTTAAAAAAAATCTTCTCTTTACTGTAATGTAACCTTTCTTGACTAATCATTCTATTAATAATACTTGCGAAAGTCGAAAGTCTGAAAATGGATAGACTATGATATGGAGTGATATATAGGCATAATACGTTAGGTACCTAGGGACCCACTGGAGCAACGCGAGGGTCGCTAGTATTTATATGTTATAAAATGACATGACCATCATGTAAAACGCTACAATCCGCCTTACCCAAGTTAGACAGGCTGTTGGGGTCCTGGCTGAGCGCCTGGTACTGCCCGCGCAGGCGGTCGCCGGCGGCGATGCGGCGGAAGCGCTTGAGGTCGACCACGTACAGCGCGCTGATGTGGTAGCTGCGCCCCTGCAGGTGGTTGCGCCAGTAGCCTTGCTTCCAGAACCTGTACCGTTATATTTACTACTAGTAGTTTATTTTATTCATATTTTAACAAAATATACATCCTAATGTTATAACTTATAAGTACATACATCTACTGTTCTAAAAATCGTGCAGTTTCATCGTATCTTTGTCTTACATAACTATTTTTTGCACACAAGAATTAGGTAATTATGTAATTTAGAATCCTTGTTGTAATTATTTTACTCACCTAAATCCTTCCATTTCCTTTCTGCTGTCACAGAATGGCGTGTATCCATAGGGAGCTCCTCCGAGATCCAATTCAACTAATTCCTTTAAGTCCGCGCGCACAATCTGTCATAGAATAGTTTTGATGAATTCAGAATAATTACAATTTTCTAAAATAGATGATATATTCTAGATTAAACGGTAGCTAATGCTCGTGACAATACTTGTGACGTGAAAATTAGAGGACCTTTGTATTAAATTAAAAAGGAACCACCAAATCTAAAATCTATATTGTTTTGTTTAAAAAATAAAAACATTAAAAAAAGGTAATGACCTGATCTGCATCAACAAATATGATCTTCTTGACGTGCAGAGGGAACAGCACGTCGAGAAACAGTATCTTGTAGCCCCAGATGGTGCGCTGGCGGTCGCGCTGGCGCTGCAGCCAGCGCGGCCACTGGTACTGCACCAGCTCGTACGAGAACCCGTACTCTTGCGCCATGTACGGGAGGATGTCCTGCACGCCATTAGGTTTTTTAAGTTTTGTTATATTTTTTCGTTTTTTTTTTGTTATTTTGAAATATTAGGTATAATCTCGCGTTCAAATTTGAGAATTAAAGATTGTCTGAATTTTAACTGTAGCGTGGTTGGATTTGTTTGTTGTTTTATATGGTGCTAATATTTGCCCGCGGTCCGCGTCATATGTCGATAAAATATTAATCAAAGTACAATTCATACCTATTTGTGATATCACCTAAATCTTTTAGGCAGTTATAATGTGAAGAGACAAATAAACACACCCACTAACAAACTTTCGCATTTGTAATATTATTTAATATATAATTACATATGTAATTTCCGGTGCAAGAGAAAGGGGCATCTACTCACACAACCAAAAACATTTTTTTTGGATTTTAATCAAATTAAACTAATTATGCTACCCATCAAACGGAATGACTGTGAGATAATTAATTAATTTATAAGTTTTAGAAATAGCCGTAAGTAAGTTCAGCAGACTTAATTAGATAAACATAAAACTATCCTGGGAAATGTCGCTGAAAATTGGCCTGATGTCATATAGATAATAGAAGTTTTTCTAATAATTAGATTAAAATAATAACAATACCTTCAAAGAAGGACTCAAGTAATTCTTCAAGAACCAGAACTTGACAGGAGATTTAGTGTGTTTAAGTACTGACAGCATCATAATGCGCAAGAACCTCTCGTACAGATGTCCGGACGCCACCGAGAACACGTTGATCGTCTCGTCTTGCGCCTCTTGTTCCTCGCCGCCGCCGAAGGAACTAATACATAGAAATAAATATATCTATACTAATATTATAAAGAGGAAAGATTTATTTTTTGTTTCTTTGTGTGTACCGAATAGGTTGGAAATTACTACTGAACCGATTTAGATGAAATTTGATAAGAAGACACTTTGAGACCTTGGGAAGGACAAGAGTTTTTATCCCGGAAATCATACCTTAAGGGGGTGAAAATGGGGATGAAAGTTTGTATGAGGAAGCAACCCAGGGACGAACCCGAGCGAAGCGAGGGTGAGTCGCTAGTATTATATAAAGTTATAGTATGTTTTTTTTAATAATAAGATTATAAGAGTTTAATCAATGACTCGTTTTATTTCTTTAAAGTTATTTCGTCCTTATGTTAAATTTAAATTTCGCGATATATAATTAAAATACCGTCATAATACATACAACACTAACGATTACTCGCAGCTCAGCTAGCGTATTTTATTTAGGTATAATTGCTAAGCTCCTTAATGTAGTAGTGTGATATCGATTCTTACTTTATAAATATGCCTCAAATTCACCTTAATAAATATCGATTTAAAAAGATATATTTTTTTTTAATTTGACTGGTATTTTCAGAGATTAGCGCGTTCATACAAATAAAAAATCAAACAATATCATATTAGTATAAATAATAGACACTCTTTACCTAGCAATAGAGTTCCAAATCCCGCCGGAATTCTTTTCGTCGTTCTCCACAAGCAGGTCCAAGTGCTGTTTGTCCGGCTTCTTGCTAACTCGCAGCTTGATCACGTGACTTCGGAACGAGCTCATCAGGACTTGGATATCTTGAGATCCCGCTGGCGTGTCTGTATTTTCGTGGCTAAAACAATTTTCAATCGCTTATAATTTGTAAATTCAATAAAACTCTATAAGTACAAAAATTAAAATTGCAGTCAAAAACATAAAATTCCTATCAATCATATCAGATAAAATTACTTATTTCTTTCTTAGTTTCTTATTAGTTTACATTTCAGATAAGTACATACTTATAACATCTATATCCACAATAATACCGACATACCCAACAATCTCATAAATCTCGTCGGATCGGCCAGGTCTTAGGCGCAATATCCACGCTCCGGGATTCGCCTTGAGCTGGAAGTATCCCAGGTTGGCCATCACGATGGTGTCCATGGTCTCGGGGCGGCCGCGCGTGCCCAGCACCAGCTGCAGGCCGCGCGGGGGCGTGCCTAGCGACGTGTCCCACGCGTGGCCTTCCAGGAGGAGGTACTCCAATTCAAACTCACTGTGGACGAGATGTAAATGGGACATATAAAAATTTAAATTATTAACTAGCATTGCCCGCGGTTCCGCCCGCGTTCAGATGAGCAAAAAACAAATTCTTATGTTTTACATATTAGCATACTCTTACAATGCAGTTTTTGGTATATTTTCTCAGAAATTAGGTATTTTCCCGCTGTAAAAAGTATCCTATATGTTGTCCAGGATAACCAGCTATCACCATACCAAATTTCATCAAAATCCCTCCAGTGGTTTTTCTGTGATGCGGTAACAGACAGACAGACAAAAATTCTTAAAACCATAGATTCGGCCTCTGTATCGATAATAATGTTTCTTTCAATAAATTTTCTAAAAAATTTCTAAAATATTACATAAACGGTAAAAAGTCAGTAAAATAAATTTAAGAAAAAACACAAAAAAAAAGCGTAAGTTATACTTCTTTGGCGTACCAGAACAAAAATAGCTAAAGATTTCATAACGTATGTCACAACTCTCTTTTTGTAAAAGGAATGCAGCTAACTTCACCATGTCTCTTTTTGGCTGTCGCTATGCGCGCGAATAAAAATTTTACTCTCATATTTTTTTCCAAACGTGCCAAAAGAAGTATAACTTAAAAAAAAACAAAACCATCCAAACCGCAATCAGCACACCATCACACACACCTATGCACTACGGAGTCGACGTCAGCCAAGCGTATGTTGTCGAGGTCGTACACGGACTTGACGCACTCGACGAGCCAGTTGGCGGGCGTGCGCAGCTCCAGCGACAGCAGCGGCGCGTGCGGCAGCCGCGAGAAGCGCGCCGCCGCGCCCGCGCCCTGCGCGCCCGACGCCGTGAACTGCAGCTCCGGCTCCAGCACGTAGCGGTAGAAGCTGCGAGTGTACACAGTGACACCAGTTTTATAATACTAATCGGAATAATATTGTAAATGCGAAAGTTTGTATGTTTGTGTTTTTTACTCCTACACGCTTAAAAGAATTTGGATGAAATGAAGTAGATATAGAGACATAAATAGACCGTGATGGACATCTAGGGGCGCACCCGAGCGAAGCGACATTTTGTCGCTAGTAAATAATATGAATTGAAAATATTTATATTATATAAGAGTTATATTTATGTTTTATACTCTATGGTGAACGACCTGGGTTCGAAGACCGCATGCAGTTATTGTGAATTAGCAATTTGTGTGCATAGCAAGTAACCAAGTAAGAATCATTTAATATACATCCTCCTAAATTTAAATCAAAAGGAAAAATATAAAAAAAAGAACATAAAAAAATTGATTTCACTTTATAAAAATCGTGAATATAATAATTGTCATAATTCCGATTTTATTTAAAAAAAACCTCTTAAGTGGCATGTCGGAGTTCTTGTCTTGCGGGTTGAGGAAGAGCCGCAGCCGGCAGTTGACGACGCGTCGCAGCACCAGCAGCACCGGCGCCAGGCGCTGCGCCGCCGTCGACGCCGGGTCCACTACCGCTATTATCTATACAAACATACATAATATGATAGATAATTTGTTACAGAACAAAATAAATAATATTATTGTATTTAGAATCTTTTCAATTCTTTTACTCACATACTAACTACTCAATATAACACTTCGTATTTTACGACGAGTATTATTACGAATCAAGGCTTTTCCTTTGAACTTTCTCGACCGACTATTTTTTTTAATTGAGGCTATTTATTTGTTAACAACTTAAAATCACCAATATTTATTACACTATAAAATGCAAAGCGTACTGGTTTCCTCTATGGCCAATATGTACTTATGCCTGAACTAAGAATTTTTATAATAAATGTAACAATACACATTCAAAATTCTTATAAATTAAATCCAATTGGTATACACTCACTTCAACAGCCGCCTCGTCCTTGTAGAGCGGCGCCAGCTCGACCACGGAGTGCTCGGCGCGCAGGCCGGCGGGCAGCGGCGTGCGCACGCGCGGGCTGCGCGCCGCCAGCACTGAGATCACCTTCAGGTACCTCTCTGTTGATAGCTCTGCTTCCTCTTCTAAATACACATTAATATGATAAAATTAATAAACAAAGGGGTAAGTAAATAAATAGTAATATTAAAATCCATAAAAAAGCTTTTGAAGATTTTCAAGATTTTAAGTGCATAGAACGAAATATTTATTTTTTTCAATTAATTTTAAAAATATAGGGGAACCTGTTGTACCTAGGACAGTGATGATCATGTATGTACAATGTATATGTATTGTACCTTGGTCATCGAACAATACCCCTAACATGAATAACCTAATAATAAAGAGAACAAAAAGTAGATAAAGTAAAAAGAAAATTAATAATTGAATCTGATTCTGAAGAATCCAAATATTGCTGTTACGTTAGAGTTAATTGATGTTTGTAGGGTTGATGTGATCAACCATTTATCATAGCCATTAAATAAATAAAACTAATATTACGAGTCTTATCTCAGAAGTAGGTCAGGTAGGCCAAGGAAAATTTGGTGTAACAAACAGCACACAGTTTTTATTATTTTATACAGAGTCAGAGTAACGCCTCAAACGACATTATAAAAAGGAATAACGCATTATTTAAAAGTCATGAAACAAAGTACAACGCTGCTCCCGCCTTTTTTCTACTCAAGATGATAACGTCAGAAAACTCAAATAAGTATTTTATATCAGAATGACAACATAAAGAATAAAATAATGAATCTACAATAATACATATAAATCCTATTTTATATAATTAATAATCTATATTATTTTTAGTATAACACTATAGTAGCAACTGCAAATTTTTATCGTAAATTAACCCTAATATGTCCAAAGTACAAAGGGGATTGTCCAAGGTACAAGAGGTATGTTTTACCTTGGAAAGTTTTCCGTTTTTTTTTCAATACTATTTTTCCTAGTTTTATACAGATTTTATTAATGCATTATGTAGTTAAATATTTTTTCTTTTCATATATGCATATTTGGCAATTCTAGTTATTTCCTATTTAATCTTTAAAAATGAAAATATAAAAAAACCGACCTAGGTACAACAGGTTCCCCTATAATTAATGTATGTCAATTGTCAATATATATTTTCATTCGAGATAATACTATGTTTTTCCTTCCTTTAGCTTTTATTTTATCAGTTTTTATACAATTATTTTATAGAGCGATATCGACTAAAAGTTCATGTTAATATTAATAAAAGTTTATAACTTACCGTCATCATCTAAAATATCGTTAGTAACAGTCTTTTTCTTACGGAGCAATTCTGAAAGTTTATCTCCGTACATTTGATTGCTGTATCTATAACAAAAAAAAAATATTTCGAACAGAATCTAATAAAATCCCATACACAAATAATAGGTATGCGCTAAAATCAATATTTTTAGCACAAAATTTGATTTGCATTACATATTTCGATTTTCGACTTGTGATTCGTAGCGAAAGGAAATACTATTTATTGTATATAAACATTTATTATAAATTTATAAGCTTACTAGCAGAACCCGCGGCTTCGCTCGCGCTAAAAGTACAAAAAAAAACTCTAAAAAGTACTTCAGTGTAGTTTAGATACTTTCATTAAAACTTTTATCTACTATTTTACACCCTTATAATATGAATTTCGAAAAAACACGTGTTTATTTAATTTTATTGAAGAGCATTAATACCAAGTTTCAAGTAATTCAGATCCCAAACATTTTTTTCTATTGTATTATAATGTGTTTTCCCGTGGGAATTAGATAATCTGTTCACAAACAAAATGTTAATTTTAATGTATCTCTATATAAAAATATATACTTTCTACACTATATCTCCATATAAACTTTAACTGTGTCAAATTTCACATTCCTCCGTCCGCATAATTTTCTTAAAAAGGGATACAAAGTTTTTGCTTAGCGTATTAATACATAATTTTAATAAATTTTCAATTTGACCACAGACTTTAACAATAAACAAAAGAGTATATATGCGTGTGTGTGTCAAATACATGGTAGTGTGTGTAATGTTTTTTTTATTGATTTTATGTATTTTTTATGCATAATTTTTAAAAAATATTAGCATTCTGCACTCCTTCTCTATATAAACTATAAGTGTGGGAAATTTCATACTCCTCCGTCCGCGCATTTTTCGTAAAAAGGGGTTACAAAGTTTTTGCTTCACGTATTAATATATACATAGATAACTACTAACCTCTCAAGAAGTACAAAGTCTTCGAGTGAGAAGCCCTCCCCCTGGTGGAAGGGGCCGATGAGGCGCGCGTTGTGCACGACGGCGCGTTCGGAGGCGCGCAGGCGCATGCTGCGCGCGCACAGCACGCGCGTCGCCTTCAGCACCCACTCGTGCTTGTTCAGTGCTGGCACTAGCTCGGGCTGTTGTATCATTATTTGTTTTATGAAATACTATTATATATGCGAAAGTTTATATGTAAGTGTCTGTATGTTTGTTACTCCTTCACATTCAAACGGTAAGGCTGATTTGGGTGAAATTTTACTACATAGCTAAACTATGACCTGGAGTAAGACAAATGCTAGTGCTTGGCACCCAAGAGGGGTACCCTAGTAAAGCGAGGATAACTCGCTTGATAGAGTAAACTTAAAACATAAACATTCATGAATGAATAGATTTAAAGAAAAGATTTGTCAATAATATTTATAATTGAGGCTAAGTCGCTAGTATCATATAAAAAACAACATATCTATTACCAATATCTCGCAATCCTGCCTCTCGTGACAGCCGTCGTCGCGCAGCAGGCGCAGCACGTACTGCGCGGCGGGCGCGGCGTCCAGCGCCGCCAGCGCCGCCACCACCACTTTGTTGAGCGACTGCGCCGCGCCCGCGCCCTCCACGTTCGGGATGAACGCTACACGCACGCCGCCTGTCTCCTTCTGTTTATTTATTTAACTAATTTATCTATACATATAATAAAAATTTAACGGATCGGACGTTGTCTGTACATGGAAGATATATGAGAAAAAATATTACTGGGACATTATGGGGAATATGGAACAAGTTTATAGATAAAATTGAAATTAAACAATACAATACAAAAATATTTAGAACAATTTACATTAATTAGCTTAGTATGTATGATGTTGTACTCTTATCGATTTCACAATGTTTAATGTATTAAGACGTCATTTTGACGGTGACGGCATAACTGGACTACACACTTAGGAGGTTAAAAGTACAACCATAACTAAAAGAACTTGTGATATCATATAAATTATATTTTTGTTGAAATCATGAATTTAGTATTAAGTATTGTAACAATGGCAATTTTTTTTATATTTACCTATACATACATACATTTTGTAAAGTTATAATAAAAACAATTATCCAAGAATTCAGCTTTTTCATCATGAAATATTCTTCCTCTAAATTGGCATAATATTGAAATCACACTATATTGGCTTAGTATATTCAGAAATAAATTTTGAACTCCTTACAAGCAAAAAAAAATTGAGAGTGTTTATTTATAAAAGTATTTATGATAGAGAAATATAATATATTTATAAGTAAAAGAAATATAATATGTTTATAAGTAAAATAAAAAAATATATGTTTATAAGTAAAAGACCTTACCATGAATGTAAGAGCATTTTTCAATAGTTCTCTTGATTCCTTTTCATTGAGGTCACCTACCACCCAGATAGTCTGAGTTATCTTTTCTTGCTTTCCTCCTTTTAAGAAATATTTAAATATGGGCAATGCTGTAGCCAATGCATCGCGACCTAAAATTATATTTATAATTTAACTTTATATAATATTTTAGTAATCTTGTTACATTAACAGAAAAAAAGATAATATTTCAATTGGTTACTACTTATTAATAAAAAAAATATACTCTATGCCCTTGGAGAAGGCTTTTACCACCCGAGCGGTGCTTGCAGCCAACACAAAATAAATATATATAAAAGAAAAGAAAAAATAACTGTATAATATATTAAAAAAAATTAAATAGTACATGTAGTAAATTAAACAAATATAAAAACTCTGTTATTAAGTTGCAAGAAATAAAAGCTTATTTGTTTATTATATTCTAAGCCCTAACGAAAAAAATAATAATATACCTGTTAAGTGTAGTAAGCGATGCACTCTTTCTTCAGTGAACAGTTCTGTTGAAGATGGAACACCTGACAGATCCAAATATTGTGACGGTTCCGAAGACAGCACTCGCCGATTTAACCTAAAAATTTGATTTTAGGTGTTTAGATATTTTACCTCCAGTATGCAATTATACCAATTACTTAAAAATTATTCGTTCAAATTTAATATCGCGTATCATACAAAAAAAATAGAAATACAATTAAATTTTATTTTCTCAAAAGTATTTTTTCGATTTTTGTCACGCTTCTATACGCTTTATATATCCCGACGTTTCGAATGCTTTACAGCAAATATAGCCACGGGCGATAAAATATCAAATATTCGCATAAATCTAAAAAGAGGAACTTCCAGAACAATCTTCCCAATATATACATATATGAACATCACAATACCTGGGCATAATATGTGGTTGCTTCATAATATAGTCAACCGCGTCGTCACTGTCCGAGAGGTCGCCGCGGAACACGGCGCGCTGCAGCCGCGCGGTGTGCCGCGACAGCGCCGTCACCAGCGCCTCCTCCAGCAGCTCCACCGACGACGTCACCGGTGTCGGGCTCTCGTCCCACAGCGGGACACCGTTTATTAACACCTGGACAAATAATACACAATAAGTAGGATTTATTTATATGAACATATATTTCTTTGGCAAGGATGTAGAACGGAAGGCAGTGGTAGCCCAGTGGTACCGCGCTCGCTTGGAAAACCGAATGAAGCGAGTTCAAATCCCGGTTCTCGCACCTCTGATAATTTCATGTGCGAATCATTTCTTAGCGGTGAAGGAAAACATTGTGCGGAAACCTGCATTTTTGAAAGAACCTAGCAAGTTTTCAAAAGACATGTGAAGTCCGTCAACCACACTGCACTTGGCTACCGTGGTGGACTATGGCCTGATCCCCCTCGTATTGAAGGGAGGCCCGTGCGCAGAAGTGGGAAATTAAAAAAAGCGCTGAATACATACATATATATTTCTATACTTACGAGAATTTAAAATTTATTAATAACTCGACTACAGCGCTATAGGTAGCGATACGGAGCATAGTTTTTGAAAAATGTTTACTTCACAATAAAATTCATATCCATACATACGGAGTTCATTCTCACGCTCCATTTAAAACTTAAATTTTCAAAAATCCTTTCTTCATCGGCCCGACATTACACAAACATATAAAACTTTTAAATTTTCGCGTTTCATAACAATTGTATATTATTGACGCTACGGGACTTAAACGCATGAATTCGTAAGTGGTATTACAGTTTTTAGGCTTTTTGCTACTTACGAATTTACGAGCTTAAAGTCCCGTAGGAGACCAATCGGAATCCGTTTATTTTAAAGAGAAATTTTTTTAATTAAAATCCTGAAGTTTTACGATTTTAAAATGTTAACAGGTATAAGTAATAGAAATTCGTAAAATGCCCGACATGCCCAGCTACTCCCGAGAAATGGGGGTGCGCGAAGCGTTGAAAGTAGTTTTTTTCAATTTCCGGCTTACTGTGACGTTCTATCGAAATATGTTTTCTACAAAAGTTGTAGGCCTGGTAAAAATCTACAAATTTTATAAAATAGCACTTTTTACAATAACCTCAAACTTCGAGATATTCGCAAAAACTCAGTTTTCAATATTTTGTTCCCAAGACGGATTCCGATTCGACTATAGTGTCATTATTATACAATTACAGAAACCTTATTGCTTGTAGTAGTTGTTTAAATTTGGTGATTCATCAATCAGTTGGTGGTATTTAAACACAATTCGTAAATAAAATGGAGCAACTGACTGGCCTGCTCACTGACACATCACAACTGTAATAGACTAACTCCTAAGAATCATTACTTAAAAGAATTTGAACTCGCAACATCATTACAATAACAAAAACGTGAATTTTAGCACTTCTAACATTAAAATCATACCTGAGGATATTTATTAGTTCCCAGCTTAGAAACGAATTCTTCTGCGAGTTGATTACCAAAGTTGTACTCGGAATCCTCTGATATGATGTCATCTAAATTATTGCTAGAGCTTGTATATTTCTGTAAGTTCTTCTTTATGTGCTCGAGTGTAATACCTTCCTCCTGTGCTGAATGAATAAGCTGAAAAAAAATAACCTTAATAGAATTAACTTTAATGACCGTTTAAATTAATATTATTTATACATATAGTAAAATTCTAACTACTCGTAAGTCGAATCTGTACATTAAATATTTTTTGGAAAATCTTATTGAAATAGACATTATTATCGATACAGAGACCGAATCTATACTTTTTAGAATTTTTGTCTGTTTGTCTGTCTATCTGTCTGTTACCGCATCACAGAAACAACACTGGAGGGATTTTGATAAAATTTGGTATGGTGATAGCTGGTTAGCCGGGTCAACATATAGGATACTTTTTACCGCGGAAAAATTTCTCATTTCTGAGAAAAAATACAAAAACTGCATTGTAAGAGTATACTAATATGTAAAACCTAAGAATTTGGTTTTTGGTCATCTGAACGCGGGCGGAACCGCGGGCAATGCTAGTAATATATAAATAAAACAACACCAGTCTGATATTCAAATGACAGCAGAATTTGACGATTATATAAATCGCATGAAAGAGTCGATCGACTTCATGATAGATTTAATCACCTCTAGGGATTATATCAAACGAAATATCTTCATTTTACCACAAGGAGACTTAAACAATATGGCTTCAAACACACAAAAAAAAATTGTATCGACTTATATAATGCTCACAAATAAAACAAAAACAAAGCCAATCTTTAAGTATAATATAAAAAAAAAACAATAACTTACCTGAGTAAGAAAATAGAAAGCTTCCTTGTTCGAGTTCCTATCCTGCGCTACGTAGTTGAAGGCGGCGCGCACGGCGGCGGCGGCGGGCGCGGCGCCCGGCGCCAGCACCAGCCCCACGCGCACCGGCGTCGCGTGCTTCAGCAGCGTCTCGCCCAGCTTCAGCGCCGGCGCGGACGCAGGGGATGTGGGATCCACTATGATTACCTAAAATAATAATTTATACCTTTAAACGAGCTATTCTTGTATATTTATGATTTCGCTGAAATTTGGTGGGTGGAAGATTTTGGTGGCGAAAAATCGATCCAGATTAGTCTTATGTTTGGCAAAACGAGTGTTTTCAAGTTTTCATGCGTTTTCTTTCGCCTTATTCCACGTAAAATATGGTCGCTAATTTCGCACGCTCCAGCCTAAGGATCGTGGTCGAGCGACCAAGGCGCAAGATTGACAATCACAAGTGTCCGGGTTTGAATCCCGGTCGGATACAATGTTTTTACTTTTGTTTTTTTTTTGTATTTATTCAAGTTTTTTGTTTTTATTTTTTTTATTTTTAAGCCAAATTAAAAAAAATGTACTTTTAGCTAAAAACTGCCCAGATGATGATTATAAAATGGATACGTACATAATTATAAATATTCCTTCTCAAATTCCTCAGCATGCCGGGGTAAGTAGGACGTAACATATCCATGAAAGACGAGGGCCAGCGACGGTAACGCTCGTCGCTCTCCAGGTCGTTGAGCCACGTGATTGAGGTGTCGCGGATATCTAGACCATACTCCTCCCATGTGTATGTCTCGCCTACTTCTAGCGACATTAACTTGTTGATGAACTTCTTAGAGAGACCTGCATGTAAAAGAATGATTGGTTGTTACTATTACCACGTTTTTTATAATTCTCATTCTAGTATAGTACTTACATTATTGCTAATTTAGCCAATAACTAGCAAATACTAGGGCGAAATCCCTAAAAATACCCAACTTGTGAAAAGGTTATAGAGGATTTTTACTTTTTAGTAAAATTAGGGTAGGTATAAAATTTCTATTGCACCACAGCAACGGGTTCTGCTGTAACTTTTAGTGAGTAGAAGTCTCACAGTCGCTTGCCCGTTGATGGCCGGTAGGGAGGACCCCATGATAGGTTTCCCCAGTATAGACAACAAAAAAGAGAAAAAATGCCCTCAGTTGCCATCTAACGTGGATTGTAGATGGCGCTGGAAACTCTTTAAAATCGTACCGCTGCCTTTCTTCCGCGATGCCAAATTAAGGAGGTTGGTGTCATTTGTATAGTTTTACCACTATCAAAGATGAAACATTTTTGATCTCGTTTTGGAATCTCCTACTTAATAAGGACGTTTAAAAAAAAGATGTCACTACAATCCATGCCATCAACTGCTAGCATACTCGCTGTTATCGACAACAGAGTTAGACCGTCTCCAATTTTGTCAATTTATTCACAGTTTTAAACATATTCAGCATCATCCCGTTGAACCCACAATTACTTACCCAAAGCATGTAAAGTATTCATAGGTCCGATATCCTCCCTAAGCGCAGTCAGCAGCGCCAGGACGTCCACCTCGTCCGCGTCGTACTGCGCGCCCGACACCAGCAGCAAGGGCTCGGCCGGCCGCAGTCCCAGCGACGACGCCCAAATGTCCTGGTTGTATAGCACTTCGTCGCGGAACGCTCGAGGCACATTCACGTGGATCAGTGACTTGGTCTATATAGAGAAATTTAGTATATTAGAAATAAATAATTTACTAAACATAAACATATATTTTATATTTATAAAAGAAAATATCTTTAATTCACATTCAACAACAAAACAACAGACAAAATATAATACATTTTAGTGAAAAATTGTTTTTTCGTTAAAGACTAAAAGTGCATTAATATAATGATTAATACAAATAATATAAATTAGTAATGAATTATTAAATATAAAAAAATCTTTGAATAAAAAAAAATAAAAAAAAGTAAATATTTGTCTTTTTGTGTTAAAACTTAAAAAAATAGGGTTTGGTTTAATTTTGGGACACTGTATGTATGTCAATGTATAGATTGACAACATCTATATTTTCTTAGATTTACGCGGATATTTGACATTTTAAAAAAACCTATCTTTTCAGATTATTTCGCAGATTTATTTTGATTTTTGGTTCCCGACGTTTCGAAAGCTTTATAGCATCCATGGTCACGGTAGAGACTCTCCCGTGACCATGCATGCATGATTTTATTTAAAACATCTACACTGACGTGCAAAAAAATCGGACCAACCTTAATTTTAAGCATATTTTTTTGTTGACGATTGTTTGGTGAAAAAAATACCGCAAAGGTAATTAAGGAGATTAGACGCCTTTGTTTCCTTCAAAAAGTCATAAAATTCCTGGAAATGCACGTGTGCGCTTAATTATAGTCAATTACCAGTAATTAGTGAATATTTGCATAATATGGATTGAAGCCACAAATACTGTTTTATGTTATTTTAGAAGATTAGTTGAGTTCCAATTATAGAACAAGACACTTCTACTTTGATCTGCGATTATTAGAAATACTGCAAGATGGATCTGACCGAGGCTGAATCATTTCGAATTCTGACTTTGCTCGAAACTGGACAAAGTCAACGTCAAGTGGCTCAAGCTTTTTCTGTGAGTTGTTCTACGGTCCAGAGAGTGTACAAACGTTACATAGAGACTGGTGAATGGTGGCTCTAAGAAATCGTCATCGCACAGGGGTTGACGTACGAAATCTCCTGAGAGAAGTGAGAGGTGTTAATATTAGCGAGTGGACGGCAAGGCGCCGACTTAGAGCCGCTTCCCTGACGCCACGCAAGTCCGCAACTGGCCCCAAACTCACCCCTGCACATCAATTTGCAAGATTACTTTTTGCCCGAGATCAAGTGAATTGGAATTTGGAGCAGGGGTTCTTATTACTGACGAAAGCAGAATGTGTTTGCATGGTGCCGACGGCCGTAATTTTGTTTACCGGCGACCAGGTGAAAGATATGCACCATGCACTATGCGGGAAACAGTGTCATATGGAGGGGGCTCACTTATGTTTTGGGCAGGATTCTGTTACGAAGCAAAGACCGAGCTTAAATTCATAAAAAATGGATCCCTTACAGCCGCTAGGTATATAACGGAGGTTTTAGAACATCATGTGATGCCTTTTACTGGGTTCATTGGAGAAGATTTTCTGCTTCTACAAGATAATGCTCACTCTCTCTGCTACATCACTCACACTGCTACATCAGTAAGGCAGTATCTTCAAGAGGTCGGAGTGTCTACTATTGCCTGGCCAGCGCGAAGCCCTGACCTCAATCCCATAGAGCATGTATGGGACCATCTCAAAAGAAAAGTTAGAAGTCGCGTAGTAGTCCCGAGCAACATTCAAGAATTAAAAAGCGCCATGTAGCATGGACTCTCATCCATGTTACATGGCGCTCAAACAGATGTGATCAAATAGAATTACAAAAATAGATGAGTCCACAGAAAATAGATAATTTAATATAAAAACCAACTTTTACATAAAGCTATAAATAATTCATATTTACACTAAAAGAAACCAACTAACATACCTGCATTGGAAAGTTCTGAGCTATAGATGTGAGTACTTTGAGCGCTTCATCGCCGCCCGCGTCGTGGGCGTCCACCACCGCTGCTGCTGCTTGCATACTCAGTGCCTGCATTTGCCAAACTTTGAGTGGAGCTAATTCTTCACTTGTTTCTGATAAATGTCTACGAAAACGTTCCAGAGGAGTTCGCAGTGCAGGAAACAAATTCCTAATAAAAAATATTGTTATTAGATACATTATGTTATTAATGTATAAAACACAATAAAAGTATATTAATGGTTATTATTATATACTAGGTTTATATAGGCTTCTTCTAAAGACAAATATAACTGTCTAACAAAATATTAAAATGAAATATAAAACAGATTTTTTATGAATTATGTTTAGGCATTGTCTATATGTCTAGTTAAGTAAAAGTAAAAAAGTAGTAAGTTGGTGCCAGCCGATACAAAGCAAAGCACACCGACTTCGAAAATATTTGATTAGGTATGTATAGTAAATAAAAACTACCAATCAATTATTTTTTACTTTTTAGTGCTTTTGTTTGAAGTCGGTTTTAATTTTTTTGTTAATTTTTTTTTTATGATTATGCATCGAAAATAAAAATAAAAATGATGGCTTTGTTTAGCCAATAACTTACTTAAGCCTTCCAAAATTAAAACCATCAATTTGATTCTGTGGATCATTTTCATCTTCTTCCTCAGATGGTGCTGAAGTGTCACCATCCTCTGACTCTTTTGGTGTTGTATCATCTTGACTTTTATATTCTGTACTCTTCAATTGTAATTCAACTCCATAGCCTGACAGTCTTAATTTTGGTTTGCCTCTTGCCTACAGTAAAAATTGCCTTAATTATTTAAAATATGTTTTATAAAATTCAAATGGAAAGGAGTCATTTTGGAAGTTATACTTCTTTTGGCATGTTTGGACAAAAATATGGGAGTAAAATTTTTAAGATGCACGTTCCAACACTCAAAAAGCGACATGATGAAGTTAGCTGCATTCTTTTTACAAATAGAGAGTTGTGACATATGTATGGGATGAAATCTTTAGCTATTTTTGTTCTGTTACACCGAAGAAGTATAACTTCTTACATGCATGCATATGCATACACTTATTTTTTTTATAATAATTGAACCTTTAAATATTATTATTTTGTATGCGAAAGTAATAAATGCATTACCTTAACATTCCATCTCACAACATAATTTAATAAGCCCTTATCAGCATAACCTGATAAAATTTTATGTTTAGCTGCAAAATCTGACATGCCAAGTTCTCCATATAAAATGGCTGTGAGACTTTTATTATCACTACTTGGATATGAGTGATCCAGTAAATATGTTTCCAAATGATGTTCATCCTGAAATTAGCAAATACTTTATTAAAGCGCTTTGGAAAAATCCAGATAATTTAAGCCATTCATATCATAAATGACATATTTTTTTAACATTAAATATGATGTAATCTCAATGGTAGAAATGGCACTACTAATTGCAAAAGATTGTATTTGTGTGCATGTGTGTCTCAGTTACTCCTGACAATGAAACAGCAGGACAGATTTTGATAGAATTTATTATACAGATAAGACTATGACCTGGAGTAAGACATAGGTTATTGTAATATATTTTTCTAATAAGTATTCCTGCCTTTATGTGATATTATAAATAGAACATGTAATTAAGAGTAAAGACACACTCAATTGAATCGAGGGCAATGCAAAGTTCTATTTAAAAAAATCAATTAACTTAAGTAGGCTCTACATTAACTATTTATAAATTAATTTTAATAAAGCAGTTGCTGTAATAAAAAACATGATATTTATAAATACAAAAAATAACAAAATTTACACGTTTATTTAATCTATATATTGTACTTACTGGATTATAGTCATTTAAAGACTTAAGTACATCTCTTAATGCATCATTTTCGCAAATTTTTCTAGAAGCAATGGACACAAATGTATCACAAGACACATCTTTTGCTCCATTCTGTAAGGCAATCTGGTCGAACATTCGCACTGTAGGTGATGTTAAGTGCATAGACAGTGCTAGTTTTGCCATACGTAATTGAGCAGGAGCTAGTAATGTGCTAGCAACACCAATACAAGCATCGTAAACATGTTTTTCTGTTGCTAAAAAACAACAAAAAATAACAAATATTTTTCTTTAATCTAAGTCCTTAATTCTTAAAACCGTAATATATTCCCTAATAAAAATTGTGATATATATAAACATACAAGTCAACTTATTATAAACACACATAAATTTACTCTTACCTAAGCTATCTAAACTTGATTTCAGAGAATTAATACCATCAAAAAATGACCAAAATAAATCTGTACTTTCTGCAGATAAATACTCTGCCAATTCCAATACAATAGGTGTTGCTTCCCATTTGGCGCTTACAAATGTATTTACGCCCTTGGATTTCTTTCCTTCTTGTTTAACAGAATCAACATTAGCAGCTAATGTATATAAAACGTGGGCTAATATAATTAAAAAAATTCTTCCACCGGTGGACTTCATTGTTTACATTAACAAACACTTATATCTAATATAACATAAAAAGTAAAATTATACTTTAAAGAGGAACAATTTTTTTAAATTTGTCATTCTTTTTTATTGAAAAACTAGCGGCATATGTGATATGACTTTATAATTAAGTAAAATTTTCACTTTATTGAAGAAGTTAGAAGTTTCACAAGCCAATGACAGATGAACACGGCTTATGGCATCTAATACAGCTGCGTTCATTTAATAAATATTAAAAAATAATTTATCAATGAGGAAGAATTTTGATTTTTTACTCCCGCCAGATGCCATCGTAACTAAAGCCCTCAGTATATTGGAAAGCTCTATAGCATGGATGGATTTTTTTCATTTAATTTAAAATTTAATTAAAATGAATGAATATGGACATCATTATAAAGAAAGTGATTTTAAAACTCTTAAATCGTCTACAGATGAATTTTTATTTTTTTATTTTCGTACTTTTTTACATGTAAATTACACAGTTTCGTACAAACTTCTATCTCCCATTTTAACCTCATAAGAGGTTCAATTTCAAAAAATACTGAAACACGTATTTATTTAATTTTATTAAAGAGCATTAATACCAAGTTTCAAGTAATTCTTATCATAAATAATTCTTTACCCATATAAACTTTATTACCCCCTTTTATCCCTTTAAGGGATGAATTTCGAAAAAAAAAAACAAATATATTTTTTATTTATTTTTTTACTTAAAGCTAAACACCAATATCTGTGTATCTAATACCTTTGAGCGAGCAATACTTGTGTATTTATTTATCTATTTATGTACACAAATCGTTAGAGCCGTTTCGGATAATACTGGGATCTCGGAAACGGCTTTAACGATTTTGCTGAAACTTGGTATGTGGGAGTATTCGGGGGCAAAAAATGATCTAGATTAGTCTTATGTCTGGAAGACGTGTGTTTTTGAGTTTTTATGCGGTTTTCTTTTGCATTATTCCATGCAAAATATTATCGATAATTTCGCACGCTGGGGTGTAAGCATCGTGGTCAAGCAGCCAAGGCGCAAGATTGACAATCACATGTGTACGGGTTCGAATCCTGGTTGGATACAAAGTTATTACTTTTGCTTTTTTTGTTTTTTCTTTTTTGTATTTATTCATGTTTTTACTTTTTTTCATCTAAAAATACGCATAACAAAAAAGAACTCCGAGTAAGGCTTGGTCACCCAGGTATTTTCATATTAAGAATGACAGAGTTTCATACAATCTTTAATCCCCTATTTAATCCACTCAGATGAATTTCGAAAAATCCTTTTTTATCGGATGCCTACATCATAGTATAAGGAATAAGTCTTCCAAATTTCACGTTTCTACGACTTGTGGTTTAGGCTGTGTGTTGATCCATCACAGGACCACCACAGGATGCACCTCTCCTTCTCAATTCTTCCTACTGCTGGCTTAGTTTCCGGTACAATACATTACCCAGGTAAGATGGGAGCACAATACATATAGAAGCAAAAAACCAGGTATGAAAGAGATAACACAATAAATTGCTTAACCTCACACTGAATGGATATAGGCCATTCGTGTGGTGCCCTCCTTTCGAGAAATCTTCCCCTTTTGTCGTCTTATTCTTTAGTTCACAATTTCTTCAGTTTTTGTCTTTTGGGAACAAATGATGTCCATTTTCTTTGCATCCTGGCAATGCATAATTTGTCATTTTAATAGGCTATTTGACATTGTGAAAAATACTGTTTTATTTATGGCCATCCCCGCATGGCATGGGTTTTAAATGCGATTTATATATAATTCGTTTCAACGAATAGTTCCTATGGCGTTATGTTGGCAGCGATGTTTTCCAGTGCTGTCACATTATCTATAATAACCCACCTCAAAGTAAGGGTAATTTCAAGTATGTTTTTTTAGTTAGATTCTTATATATTTACAAATTATTCGATTTCTGTTTTCTAATGTTTACGCGAATTTCACTCATTATAATAAAACAACTTTTACGCCGCTACTTTACTATGGCGATAAAATCAGTAAAAGTTGTTTCATTATAAATTATTCAATTATCATTTTAAAAATCAGAAAAGTAAAAAAAGCATAAATTATTTAATATTTTTTATTATAATTTTGATCAATCAAAAAATGCTCATCCAACGGACTTATTCCCGAGAGATCGTCGTCAACTTCATCTTCCTCATCATCCTCGTCATCAGAAGTGTCGCTATCGTCTCCCACTTCAATTATGAACCTCTCCATCTCGCTATCAATAACTGGGCCATCGGCGTAATATTTTTCTTCCACTTTTTTCACATGCTCACATTCTTTTCTCCATTCTTCTTCGGTGATCGTTGCAAAGGCTTCTTCGTGATTTGGACGATTTTATTTGCTTCTTGACCTATGTTTTTTTCAGCAACTCGTCATTTTACGACACTCCATATCAGCTCTATTGGGTTTAAATCACAGTGGTAAGGTGGAAGCCTTACCACTTTATGTCCATGCGCTTCCAACATTATATCGGCTTCATAAACGGGCGGCTATTTGTGCTCTTTTATTATTTGAAATAGCTGGGCTTTTACCATAGTTGGCAAGTAAGAAAGACCATTACTTGATATCCAATTTTGCATTTCTGCCTTTCTGCTTGACATTGTTGGTGCTTTGTTAAGTTGTACTGTGTGGTAGGAGGCGTTATCCATCACCACAATTGATTGGGGAGGCAGATTTGGTATAAGCTTTTTTCGATATATCGATCGATCGATATATCGATCGATTATCGATTTTTTTAGGCCGGGGACCGCTTTTGCGTGGTGTTGAAACCTTAGTCGACGTGCTGGCAGCGACCTCACCTTCTTTGGTGATTTTAGACACGGTTTTTTCGGACACACCTAAAACAAATATTTTGATTTATTTATCTATTGTCAACGTCATACATAAACCAATAATAGTCGCAGTACACATGCTTGCGTAGATCTTACAAATAACTACCGTTTAAAAAAAATTGCGGTTAAAGTGTGGAAATTATAATTTCTCTATCTGCTACTGGTAACCCTATTTGACTGACCTGTAATGGCGGCAACACGAGCCTGAACACATCTTAAAGGAATTAATGGTGCATTATTACGTTTTTCACGTTCACAAAAGTTCTTCACCTTTAACACCATCATTCTTTCACCACTTTTTAATGTTTTGGGCATAATTTCAGTCGAAAATCAAATGAAAATAAACAAAATCTGCGGGAGCGTCTTCTCGTGCCAAAGACTTTAACAGAGAGGGAGGCCAACAATATATCTATACTCTTTGGGCCAACATAACGCCATAGGTACTATTCGTTGAAACGAACTATAATTATACTCGGCGAACCTTGATCCCTATGACAGTTCGTGTTAGTGATGAGTCGTGTCTTTGGTCGTGTCGATAATTTTTTTTTTTAGACAAAGGCGTGGCTTGCATTCAGCCACGTTGGTAAACATGTTATAAAAAATATTATAATGTGCATTTTTAATGTCCATTATGTTGTTGTTGTATTAGCCCAAGCGCCGGGGAGTTTTTTTTGCAATGTATTAGACCTGGTATATAATTGGAGGAAAGACGTAGAAAAGACCAAAAAACTTTGCTACGATGATTGGGATCGAGATGTGCGATACGACACTTGAAGATCAACCATTATTGATAAATGTAGGTGACAGCAGTTGCAGTTCAGATTCCGAGTCTGAGACGCAAACACTCATGTCATTATCAGATTCAGAATAAAATACAGAGTGTAACAAAAGTAAGTGATAATACTTTAGGGCGTGTCGTGTCCCTTATATAGAGTTCACTGGCAAAGTAGCAGCGCTAAAAGCAAAAATTTTTTTTGTGATTTGCATGGGGAAGCTCATGTGGCGCTTGCCCATACAAATCACAAAAAAAAATTTTCGTTTTCAGCGCTGAGTACTTTCACTGTAAACTATATAAGGAACACGTGCAAGCCCTAAAGTATTATCACTTACTTTTGTTACATCCTTGACCCTATGTATGTAAATAAATAATTGTTAAACAGATATTGTTTCATTTCATTTTGTCCTATAGCTGTTATTTTTTAATTTTCTTGGGTATAATATAATCATGTGTGTATGTATGAATGGTATGATCGTAATATTCTGTTCTATTCCATAATAAATGAACTAAAATGTGAGTATGAAAAAAAAATGTGCATTCGTTTCCATTACCGACATTTTTTTATCGATACTTTCCGCCCTAGTCGATAAACGTCACACGACGTAAGTTTTGCAGGACGTAAACATAAATTCAGATTGAGATAACTTCTTGTAAATGTTAAGAATTGGTAAAAATATCAACGGAATATCATTACTAATGGTATAAAGCTACGTAAATTTTACAAATGGCATTTTTAGACGCCCCCAATATGATCCCAATTTAATGGTGACGCCTCTACATTGTTATATGGTGACATTAGCTGTCGGTGTCATAGGGATCAAGGTTCGCCCCGCCGAGTCTATGTGAAAAAAATATGTTATTAAATGTGTAATAAAGCCTCTAAAAACTTCATTTATTTATTTTCTACTATCACGTGATTGAAAACGATCTGGATTGGCAGACCATATAATGACGTCACAGGCTAGCAAGCTATCAAATCATGTCTGTCAATGAGTATTGCTATTTACAGCCTGTCATTGCCATTTTATCATCGTTTTTGCTGGTGTCTTTATAGTATTTGTGCACCCTGGCACTACACACCATTTATACATTGTCAATAATGGATATAATGCTTAATAACAAAAACGAACGCTAACTCAACTTGGGTTGTGTCGGTTGATCGATTATAACTCCTTGTGACGTCACTGACGCGATGTTGCGCAAAAAATTGTTTCAACGGCCTATTTGAATTGTACTTTTCTAATTGCTATTTTTGATAAAATACTTATAAGTAATAAAAATAAACACTTTTTGTAGGCTCAGTAAACACCAGTAAATAATTTAAAAAGGTTTCTAGAAACCAGTCAAATAGCCTATTAAATTTTAAATAAAATGAAAAAAATCCATCCATGCTACAGAGCTTTACAATATACCGAGGGCCATAGTGATCATGACATTTGGCGGGAGAAAAAGGCAAAATTCTACCCCATTCAACGTAAAATTTTGCCTTAATCTGTGGTTAATTCAAATTGTCAATTCAATAACATTTGTCATCCATTTATTGTGTCATTTGTCAGTGCGATTTGTACTGACAGATTCCCATTTCCCTGAGTTTTAAATAGGTAGTAAATAAGTACTTTCGTGTGCACATTTAAAACTAAATTCTAATTATTTTCTTCATCTAGTAAGTTAATTTCTCTTCTATATTTTTTTCTTTTGCATTGCGTTAAATTTCTTTTGTATCTCCAATTGATAGTTGATGTCACGTATACAATAATATCCATAGTTTTGATACTTACACTTTGTTAATAAGTCCTAAAGCAAAGGTTTATAACTCTTTTTTGTAAATCAGGTTCATTAATTAATTTTACAATTGAACATTGGTATTTGGTACATATTTGTGGGTACAATGCAATATACCTCCGACGAATCATATACTCGGCTCATAAGCCATAATATGACAGTGCCACAGAGGATAAAGGTAAATAAATTATGAAATATTTTTTTATGTTTTAATTATGACACTCTATAATGAATTTAAATATATTTTTCTTTATATTTTTAAATACTTAAATGATAATATATAAATACAGGCAAATGGAGATATTGTTGATGATGAAAATACTCCAAATGGGATGGTTACAGGATGGGATTATGCAAACGAAAAATTTGATATGAAAGTACCTGAAAGAATTCTTGTTGCAGGTCAAGATCAGCATATAGGTAAAAAATAAATTTTAATATTACTACAAAGTTCTTAAAGACTACATTATTTTTTTTATTCATATTAGTGTTACAAAATTATACTAACATGTGTTCTCCCACAGGTCGCAATTTGATCATAATCATAAAATTTTGAGGAAAACATAATATATGAATAGAATTATTTATCTACATATATAAAAAAATTAATAATATATGTTAAAAGTTATAATATTGTTTAATAGGCACTAAAGCTCCTCCACGTGAAATTCAATTGGACAATGCTGTTTTGCCGACTGACCCAGGCATGGTTCGTGTGAGCACACCTCCTCGAGTTATTACTCTTGATCAACATTACTTCCCATCAGCAGATGACTACCCTATGGATTTGCCAAATTCTCCACCAAGGAATGTACGAATGATTAACTCCATAAATGACGGAGTAAAAGCAATTACTCCATTCCCTGACCATTTCAATGAATCAACTATGACTGAATCACGTCTTGTGCTAAGGTAATGTTTGTGATCTTAGTATGACCTACAAAGGGATCATAAAATGATTACTACTATATATTAAAGCATATACGCATAATTCAAGCTGTGACCGATTATGTGCTTGTTTTATTTTTAGAATATAAATTGAGGACAATTTTTATAATTTTTGCCTGCTTTGTTTTTTTATTTTTCTTTGAATATTATTGTATAACTTGTGTGTTAATTCACAGTATTATTTTTACAATAAAGTATATCCAGGACATTAATGGTTGTACCATACATATATTATTAGAATAATAAAGTTATATAGTTTTAGAATGTCATGTGTTGATTTAGAGAGCCTACTATCATAGATGATGAATATTATGTGAGTACAAAATTATGTATATGATCAAACAACATAAGAAATTAAATTAATTGATTTTAACTCTTTGCCATACCTTTGAATATTGTACAAAATATATTGGCTTAAAATATCATATATCTAAACAGAACGTAAAAATCACAGAAATTCCATAAAGCTCTTGGGCCCTGAGCTTATAAGCTTTAATAATAAAGTTTATATTGTTTGTATCGATTCAACACGTTCATTGAACACGCGTTTAGAAGTTGTTGTGTAAATATGTAGACCCTTAGAAGTAGGTAAAATTGAATTCCAAGATAGTAATAGATTTCTAAATATGAGGAATGATCGAAACGCTCATTAGGAACACATTGCATGGCATTAAGAAGTCGTATTAATAGCCCTTAAATGTAGATTATAGGGTAAATTCGAATTAAGCTAATAAAAACGTAGTTAACTCGCCTGATTGACACTATCAGCTGAAGTAATCATATAACAGTCAATTTTATTACATTATAAAATTAACTGACCTCATATTGATTTCAGTCCCAAACTAGATAAATAAACGATACTATATTAGATTTCAATATACTCACCCACTTAAAAACATACCTGCATAATAGCAACTTTCTTGCTTCAAAAAACAGCTTTATGGTAGGATAGACAGGATATTGAGGAATCTGTGACTATAGGGCAACTTTGGAATCCAAAATTCATCAGGATGTCATTAATATTTAAAATATGTACATAAATAGCGTGTATACTTTTAGAGACCCCACACCTCCAATGGGCAATGGAGAAGGACTTTCCACTTCAGAGGAGCTGGTACATTTACGAAGGCAAATTGTCAAATTGAATCGACGTGTGATGGCTATTGAAGCTGAACAATTGCAACGTCAACAAAAAGAAAAAATTGCTTATGCAATAAGTATTGCATATTTATTGTTTAAAGTTATTGCTTGGCTGAATAGGTCTTAATTTTTGTTATTGAAATTATTATCACCCTAAGTAAGATGAAGTTTTCATGATATAATGTTTACTCAATGAAATGTTACAGATGGCAAACATTTTTGAAATGTGGACTTAGTGTTGCGTTTTCTTATAGTAACAAGTATGGAGTGGAAAATATTAATGAATATTATTAATTTTTAAATCATATAGAAATTAGGTACATTGTTTTGTTATAGGATGGTTTGTTGTACAGTGAAATGACATAAGTTCTTGATATCTCCAAACTTTTTTAGCATTAAATACATTAACTGTTAAGTGATCATAATTCCCCTTTGAGGTGTTAGTGTATCTAGATCATTTTTTTATTTAAATAAAAAAAGAAAAAGTTAGAATCGTTTTTTAATTTTTAGTAAGATTTATTATACTACCTTATCCTGTATTCCTATGATGTTTTTGTTTTATTATCATTATTTGTTTATAAATAATAAAAAATAATTAAGTTAAAGAGAATAAAATAAAAGGCATTTCAGGGTAACACTCAATATATTCCAAAAATGCCACAGGACATCAACATGATTGGTTAAACATTCTAAAATTCGAATGTTTTGTAGTACCAAATTTTTGATAAGAATTAAATAGTGACTGGGTTATTAAGTTAATACTGTTTCAATATTAGACTTGTAAACTCAATTTGTTTCAGCAGGTTTATCTTCATAAATAAAAATTACTGAAAATAGTGGACCACCAAGACGCTGTGCAAGCCAAGCATTTTTTACCACTGCTAATTTGAGAGAATCCACAGCAAGACGGGCATTTAAATTTGTATGTACAGCTCTTCCCATGCCTTCCAATATTATTAAGTCTACACCACGTATTTTCATTTCTGTACAAAGACCTATAAAGTTTAAAATGAGGTTAATAGGATATAAGTAGACAATTGCAAAAATTTAGATAATACTATTTAACTTACCCACACTAATTGTTCTAAGGTCAAGACAAGGACCTCTCTGTCCACTGGATCTAACTACTAAATCTCCTGTTGCCATAGCGGCCGCAAGAACAGGGCAGATTAATGCTGCCCGTTGGAGAACTTCCTCTAACTCAACATTAGTAACATCATTCAAAGCAGGCCATTCATTAGCACAGAGAATAACTGATGTGCCTCTTAGTAACAAACCCCGTACAAATGGCAATATCCCTAATACTACATCAACACCACTGTTATCCACAAACACAGCAGCACAATGATGAACAGTTTTCTAAAAACAATTTATATTAATATTGTATAATATATAATCATTTTTAGTTTTAATAGCAAATAAAATATAATGCTACTTAACTTACTTCAAGTTTCTCAATCCATTTATCTAAGCCATCATATAGCCAAGGCCTTTTCTGAATTTTTTGTAAGGCTTCATAAAGTCCACAATTTAATATTGATGTTACTGCTTGTGCACCCCAGTCAAACATATTACCTATAATAATAATTACATATATGTATATTGAGTACAAATCTGTAAAGTGCTTAAAAAATGTTTTATGGACTAAAAAGATATTTAATTATACTTGAAAAATAACTTGGTTCTTTATAAAATATGTATTAAGATTGTTATCACTCTTACCAGCAAGAACTCCTCTGCATAATTCAGTCCACCTTTGACGATCATCAGGTAAAGCATCTATTTCAACTAATCTTGCTGCGAGTGTATTTAATGCAGCTTCATTTTCATACTGTTTTTGTTGTTTCCATAGGTCAAAAAACCCCTGAGAACGAAGGCATGTTTCGTTGACGTCAAGAAGCAATCGTATGGTTAATTGTCCATGTGCACTATAATATAAAGAAGCAATTAATTCAAAAAATAATTTAAAAAGCATTTTTATAAATTAGTTCATATAAATAATAATGGTATTATACTCACAGTGGATTAATTCTAAGCTCCTTTATCGCTTCTACATAACACGTTTTAAATTTTAAAGCTCTTATTTCAACCGTCGGATCATCAGTATTAACTAATGCGAAATTAACATATTTTTCTACGAGCTTTTCGCATGTATTTAGCCAGTATTCTCTCGCTTCTTCATCGGCTAGTAAGTCCAAAGTGTCTGGACTATATTTATCTGGCTCGTATAGAATATGAGACAAGCCAAAATGTTCCATTCTGGATTATTACACTAAATAAAACGTCACTAAACTACAGTAATTATTTTATTTACAACCATGCCATCCCATTGTAATCTTTTATCATTATGCTAATAATAATTACAAACGTTATTTTCTCATATCTGATATCTCACAAAATCTGTCTTCTTTGAGTTTTGAGACAACGACAATATATTCCCAGTTCCCAATAAATAACAAGCACAGGCCACAGACCAGGAACAACAAGATAACAAGTAACAACCACAAACTATACAGATTACAGAGATAACAACAAAATTTCCCGATTGATGACTGATGAGTCGAATCACGAATGCACATTGCACAGATTAAAATACAGATATTATATTAGATTAAAATTTGAAATTACCTACTAATGGGGAAGATTTCTTGAATGGAGGGCGCTACACGTATAATCTATTTACATTCAGTCTAAGGTTAAGAGTGTTAAAATCACTTTGTAAACTCATGTCCATATAGTCTTGAATATAAAGATTGTGATTTTGTCAATCTTTGTCGTTTTATTACTTTAGCCCACAATTTTTTTTAGCTTATATCTTTTGGGAACTAAAATAACTTCAATGCACAAAATCATAAGACATTTTTATTAGCATAAAAGATATGAATGAATGACATACATAAGAATCGAATATAAGAATATTTTTAAAATTACAAAGAATGTACATATAAAGAGTATTTATAATATTCCGCCGGGGTTACTTTTTTAACATCCTTCCTTAATCACATTTCTTCAATCAACCTTCGTGGCGGTTTTATAGTACGCTTACTACGTCGTTATATCGCTTTATATTCTCTATCCTTATTCGATTCATTGGTTAGCCTGTCTTGTTCGATTGTTTCTGCTATTAGGCTTCCGGGTCTAGGTGTTGATTGTATCGTTATCGTTTCTGTGGGTGTAATATTAGGAATCGAGGCTTTTATCGGAATCACTGGTTCCGTAGATTTTTCGGATGAATTTGGTTGTTTTCTATCAGGTACTTTGTGTTCCAACCATGTTGGGCTGATTGGTGTATGTTCAGCTTTTGTATTATTATCTCTATCCATGGCTTTTGGCCTAATATGATCTGCATGCATTCGCCTTTCTGTTCCATCGGGTGTATTGACTTTATATGAGTATTTATGTGTTCTCTGCTTAATAACACCTGGCTTCCACTGTTTCATCACTCTATCTCGAATATAAACGTTATCACCGGGTCTATATGCTTTTGTATTTTCGTTCAGAATGTCTGCTTGTAATTGCTTAAATCTCAATTGATGCTTTAGATTCGGGCGGGCATTGTCTAACTCACATGTAAGTCTGCGTCCAAACATCATTTGAGCTGGTGATTTCCCTGTCGTTGTGTGAGGTGTATTGCGATACGTAAATAGGAATTTTCTTAGGCGATTTCTTTGGCAGTCATTATCACCTTTACTTGCCGCCATTCGAGTTTTAAAAGTTCGAACTAACCGTTCTGCCAATCCATTTGTTCGCGGATGGTAAGGTGACGATTTGATATGTACAATGTTCTTAAGTTTGCAATATGTTTGAAACTGCGATGATGTGAATTGTGGTCCATTATCAGGAACTATAATTTGCGGTAATCCGAATGTAATAAAAATATCGTCTAGTTTGTTGCAAAGTTTATCTGTAGTAATTTTGTCCATTGGAACAATTTCTATCCATTTCGATAGAGCATCCGCCAATACTAGCCAATATTTTCCCTCAAACGGTCCTGCAAAGTCAATGTGTATTCTCTCCCATACATTGTCTGGGATTGACCATGAAAATATAGGAAGTTCTGTGATGTTTGGTAGATTCTCTAGACACATATGACATTTTTTAACGTAAACATCAATATCTTCTTCTATTGTTGGCCATCATACATAAAATCGTGCTAAAAATCTCATTGCTGAAATACCTGGATGACCTCTGTGTAAATATTTTAACGTGGGCAGGCGCAATGTGCATGGCATAACAATTCTGCCCTGTCACATAACTAAATTGTTTTCTATTGCAAGTTCTTCACGTTTGCGTACATAAGGTTGTAGTTCTGCTTCCTTTACTAAATTTATCCATCCTGTTTTAATGAATTGCATTACTATTTAAGGCTATTATCTTTCGCGGTTTCTTCCTTAATATGTTGTTGAGTTAGTGATAAATCATTTATTTTGTCGTATTGTGTAATTTCGTCAATTTTATGAATTCTTAATTTAGCTCTTGTAGGTTCCTCTTTAGTATTTGGCATACGTGATAAATAATCATCGACTGAATTATTCTCGCCCTTTCTATATAAAATTTAATAATCATAGCTGCCTATTAATAAAGCCCATTTCACGAGTCTGTTGTTTACTATTTTTGGTAAGTTACGTTGGTGTCCTAGAATGTGTATTAAAGGTTTGTGATCAGTTACCAAAGTATATTTGGTTCCCCTTAAATATTGGTTAAATTTTTTAATGCCATAAAATATGGCAAGTGCTTCCCGATCTCTTACTGAATATCCGGATTCTGCTAATTTAAGTTTTCTTGATGCATATGCTATAGATTGTTCAAGCTTGTTTGCTTTATGAAATAATACGGCGCCTATTCCTTTCTCTGAAGCATCGTATGCTAAATATAGAGGGCGTGTCTCATCGAAAGCTATTAACGATTTGGACGTCGTTATACTGTGTTTAATTTCATCGAAAATTTCATTTTCATAAGATCTCCATTGCCATTTGCTTTTACTTCCAGTTAACTTATGGAGATCTGCACAAATGCTATGTAAATTTGGAATAAATCTCTCATAAAAATTAACTAAACCTAGAAAAGATCTTAATTCTTTTATATTAGTGGGTGGAGGTGCATTAAGGATAGCTTCAATTTTTGGTTTTGTTGGTCACACACCAAATCTGTCAATTGTATGTCCTAAGTATTCTATCTCTGGTTGTAAAAATGAACATTTTTTTAAGTTTACTTCGAGACCTGCCTTCTCCAATCGAGTAAATACAGTGGAAAGTGCTTTTAAGTGTTCACTGTCATTTCTTCCAGTCACAGCTATGTCGTCAAAATAAACGGCTACATTTGGTATATCTTCTAAAAGTTTGTCTAAATAATGTTGGAAAATAGATGGCGCAGTTGCGATACCTTTGTGGGTCGAAATTGTTAGATATTTTTTGATGCTTCGGCTATTTTAAATTGTAGGTATGCGTCTTTTAAATTGATTTTTTAAATATATCTCTCCATTTGATAGTCGTTGACGTAAGTGGTCGAATAGAGAAACTGGGTGTGCATGTTTTATAAGTGCTGAGTTAATTGTTATACGGTAATCACCACATATTCTTATTTGACCATTTGATTAAAGAACATTAACTGTAGGTGTTGCCCATTCCACTGGAGTTATATTTGGGTCTATTGGAGTAATAATGCCTTCATTAACCAAACGCTCTAATTCAATATCTACGTTTCTTTTAATACTGAATTTTATAGGACGAGCAGGAAGATGTTTTGGTTCTACTCCTTCTTTAATGTGGATGTTTACTTGATAATTGTTTACTCTTCCTAGTTTACCGTCGAAAAGCCTTGTGTGAGCATTTAATACACGCCTAAATGACATGTTCGTTGTCATTGTATTACTTTTTATAGAGTAAACGGGTTCCGGAAAAATCATATCAAAAGATTCACTCCACTGTAGGCCAAAAAGCATTGGCTCAGCATGCTTCCTTACAATTACTGGTAATATTAAACTTCGGCTATCAACTTCTACAGTAATATCAGTTAAGCCTTTGGGTTTTAGTTTGAAGTTACAGTAAGCTTTTAATGTGGGTGCTTGCATTAGTGAGGGTGATCTAATTTTTCTCCACATTTTAGTATTAATAATGGAATATACGGAACCTGGATCCCAATCCATTGTACACTTAATATCGTTAATTTTAACATCTATTTTTTTACACCTGCTTGTTTTTTTATTATGTATTTTGTAGGTATTGCTCTCTTCCTCACTTTCTTCGCTACCTGAAAATGATGAAGTTGGTGTTTGTGATACTCTGTTAGTTATATTTGCTCTTTCTGTAATTCTGTATAAATGCCTATTTTTCTGAAACTTAGTTGATTTTTTAAGTGGTTTATAGTTGTCAAGGTACGCTCGGCCAGTTTTAATGCAGCAACTTTCAAAATGACCTATGACTCCACATTCTGTACATTCATGATTTCTGGCTTCACGTTTGTTAAAGCTGTGTCTATTGTGATTGCCGCATCTGCGACATTGGTCTAGGCGTAAGTTGCGTGTTGGTTTCCGTATGTTTTCTTCTTTTCTGTTCCCAGTTTTGTTAGATATTCTGTTAATGTTATACTCTGTATTAATATCTGCTTCAGCTAGACTGAGCAATAGCAAATAACTGTAAAAATGTTACTTTTGTTTTTATTCCGTTTTGAGTATCTATAAGATCAGGCCATTTTTGTCTTAATTCAATTTGTAATTGTTGATGATTTAGCCCTGTAGCGAAGCGATCTCGTAACTGTCGTTCTAATATAGTGTCATCATAACCGCAATCTTTGCTGAGTTCTTTTAACCTATTGGCATAATGTTCCATGCTTTCACAGGTATCTCTCATACAAGACCAAAATTCAGTCAATCTTGTTTTTCGTGTTTTATATATATCTAGTAGTTTATTTTTAATAACATCGTAGGTAGAATTTTCGAATGAGGGTATTAGTGCCGTTTTAATTTCGTGATATGTTTCTGGTTTTAAACATGATAATAAAAGGTCTTTCTGTATAATTAAGTAACTTTCACCCCATATTCTACATTTGGCTTCAAAATATTCGTTAAAATTATCAATTGACGAGTTACTTGACGGTTCAAATTTGTGTCCTCTAAAATTATTAATGACGGCTATTTTATTCATTTCTATCGGTGTTGAGGTAGTTACCTGCGACTCCGTTCCATTGTTGTTCAATGGTGTGGGTGTGGTAATTCGTGTTGCAACTAAAAATTTCTGAATTTCTGTTATTTGTTGTTGCTGTGATACTTGATTTCGAAGTAATTGGGCTATTTGTTCAGGGTTCATTTTTATTTATTTCCTCGTCGCCAATAAAATAACTTCAATACACAAAATCATAAGACATTTTTATTAGCATAAAAGATATGAATGAATGACATACATAAGAACCGAACATAAGAATATTTTTTAAAATTACAAAGAATGTACATATAAAGAGTATTTATAACAGGAACAAATGATATATATCGATAGGAGAGATACATCATAATTTACTAGAAAAACGGTCTTAAAAAAGCATACAGAAAAGTCCGCATTAGCATGTAACTATCTCTTGAGATGCACTCGCAAATCGCAATAACTAAATATTCTATTTAAATCGTACCCGAGCGAAGCGGGGATAAGTTGCTAATATAAAATATTCTATATTTAAACCGTTAAGATATAGCTAAGGACGAACCCGAGAGAAGTAAGGTTGAGTCGCTAGTAATTCATAAAAATAATGTATTTTATTAAAAAATAAATAAAGAATTGATATCATAGACAAGCTTAGTTTGTTTCTTTTTTTTCTATCTGTAATCACTGGTGGTAATGCTTCATTTCATTCATTCAACTTCATATTTTAGACTCGCTTCGTTTACGTCGTGTTATTGAAATTTCAGAGATGTTATTAGATTGGACAGACCTATATATTGTTCATAGAAGACCATATCTCATATAAAGTGTAGTGAATTTATGTGTTTTAAAGAGTTTTATAAATAATATCAATGTTTGTGTTATGTGATTGATATAACGAATCAGTGGTACGCAAGATGGACGAAATGTCTAAGGGCATGTCACAAACAGGAAGCACCGCTGCAACTGACAAAAGTTTAGAAAATGATGGTAAATGTTCTGTGTATATTTTGTAACATCAGGTGCTTAAAATTTCATAAATATTGTAAAATCCCTTGACACTACTGTGGTAATATCAACACAAAATTATTTTCTTATTCAATTTGTTTGCTACAACATACTGGTAATGTCATGATTTAAAAATTCGTTTAAACGGTAGGCGCTACTATTTGTTTTAATGAATTTCGAATTTCTTAAATGTTTTATGAAATAATATATATATTTAAAAAGATTATATGAACCAAGATTAAATAATCTATTTCCATTCAATTATTTATTCATAATATAGTTATGTAATTTTTAAATAAGATGATGGTTCTTTTAATTAATTTATTTTACATATTAGACTCACATTCATAATTTAACATCTTCATATAATACATTTTAAATCTTAAATATGTTCACAAATTATTTAGGAAGTTTAGTTTTTGTCAACCTAATCTTATTTAAGAATTTCATAAGTATTGATCTTTTAATTCACTTATAAATAAACACAATTCTGTGTATGCTCCTATTTAAATAGAACATTTTGATACTAGAATTCTGCAAACACATATTAATTTAATCACACAAGACATATTATACGTAAAATCTAAGTGGTCCATTAACTAATAAAACATATATAAATGTGATAACCTAAAATGTTTTGAACATAAAAGTATATTTACAAATATCCTTTAAAGCCTTTATTTTTCTAAATAAATGATTAATAAAGCATTAATTATTACTTTTGTTGTTATTGGATGTATTATTGTAGCTGTTATCTTTATTTACATTTATGGACTTGAACTTTGTTAATGTAGGTTATTAAATATTTTTTTGAAAGTTATCAATTTACATCTTGCGCTATTTTGAATTCATCCTATAAATAAAACTTTTGGTCTAAATAACAATATCTGATGTAACTTTATTTGACCCTTATTATGTTTATCATTTCATATGTAATATATAAGTATATACATAAGTAGTAGAATTAAAAATGAATTTGATATAGTATTCTATTTATATATCTATTAGCATGCTTATCAAAGTAAAATTTATTTTTAATATTATTTAGTTTTTAAAACATTTTTTTTAGTTTATTTCTAATATTACAGTTCTTACTCTGTTCAAAGTATCATAATTATGTCAAATTATATTGTTAAACAAACTCATGCACTTGTTAGGTAGAAATATTTAACGAATATTTCTTATTTAAGCAAACTTTTAGTACAAATAGAGTGAGTAACAATTACATACAATGTCAGATTAAAGCCATGGCTTCCAATTATGTCTTCAGTGGTGTTCCTTAAAACAACACTTGAATGAATTAATCAACCTATCTCACGGGAACCATACAATTTTTCGGGATAAAACGTAACATATGTGCTATTCCAAACTATATAATCTATGTGTCAAATTTCATCCAGATTGTTTCAGCCATTCTGGTGTGATTAAGTAACAAACATCCATCCATCGAAACTTTCGCATCTATACTATGTATGAGAATAAAATATAATATATTTTATTTTATTACATTTTAGTAAAAAGCTTTTAAACATGTTAGTTGAGTATAATTTATTTATTTATTTATTTATTATCAGTTGGGAAACAAACAGCTTTTATAATACAGAAATATGTTAATACAAACTATTCTTTTCATCAGCCAATAAAGTTTCCACTTATAAGTAAACATGGAGTGAAAAAAAAAATACAGACTATACGTAAAATAACTAAACATAATCTTTGTGTATATATAGGGTTGCAAAATACATATTATATCAAGGATGATCGAGTTTATGCTTAATGCTTTGAGAAAATTTGTTGATATTACTATCAAATATGTCAATTTGGTTATAATATGTATTATGCGATCTACAAGCTCTAATTACAAAACAGTTCTTGGCATAATTTGTTCTACACATAGGGACACAAAAAGTATCTTTAGAACGGGTGCAAAAAGTTGGGCATTTGAAATTAATATTGCTTAGAAGATAATCGGAATCAATTAAATGATGTATGATTTAATAAAGAAAAATTTGGTCTCTGTATTCTCTACGTTGCTTCAATGATAAAATATTTAAATTTTTAATTTCAACTACATCAAATCTATACCTCAATCGCTTTATAAATTTATTTTGCACACTCTCTACTGCTTCAATATATTTGTTATATTGCGGGTTCCACACAGTCGAAGCATACTCTAAATGAGATCTAACATATGAATTATACAGCAGATTAAATGTATGTATACTTTTAAAATCACTAGCGCTTCTAAATATAAAGCCAAGCATTTTGTATGCTTTTGTAATTATATTATTTATATGTTTATCAAATATAAGTTCAGCATCCAACAACACGCCCAGGTCTTTCACGTCAAACACTCTCTTCAGTTGTTTATTAAAAATTTTATAATCAAATATAATTGGCGCTTTCTTTCTGGAGAATGTTATAACACAACACTTGTCGATATTCAAAAATAACCCATTAGATCTACAGTAATTTTCTAAATAAACTAAGTCATCCTGAAGTTTTGCACAATCTTCATTTGTTTTTATAATTTTAAAAATCTTTGTGTCATCTGCATAAAGTAGTATATTAGAATTTTGAAAAGACTGTAAAATGTCATTTATGAAAATATTAAAAAGAAGAGGGCCAAGGTGAGAACCCTGTGGAACTCCAGATGTAATGGGAACAAAGCTAGAGATAAATCCCTTAACAGCCACTGCTTGAGACCTGTCGCGAAGATAAGATTCAAGCCACCTTAAGAGATCACCATGTATACCAGCATGCTCTATTTTGCGAATTAATATAGAATGTGGGTTATATACAACAGAACTGTAATGAATCTAACTTCAAGTGAGATCAGGAAAAAATACTTGAGTTATATGGGCTTAAATTAAAACATATTTTGACTTTCATTTTGTTTTTGTAGGTTAATGTATGATTCGCAGAGGTTTATATTCTGTCTTTTCTGATGTGACATGCATAGGTGAAATTAATAAAAAATCATATTACAATGTAAACAGACTTATTCTTAAGAAATTTTACATAATATGTCAAAATAAAATAATTTCAAGGGTGACATAAATGACATGGGTAATATTATTGAAGTACTTCTGTACTTTACTAAGTAATAATAAAATAAAAGCTAAAATATTTATCTTGAAAAAGAACTAAACTTGAAATTTAGTTTATTGGAAACACTTCAATGAATTAACACTTTCTTAAAACAGGTTTCAAAATTTCTATGCCTTTATTTGGGGTAGAAGGTAGTTTAATTTACAAAAGAAAAAAGAAAAGGTCCTTTTAAAAATAATATAGAAAAGAAATCACGAAAAAAGAAAATTATAACAATAATTGTAGTCACATGACTTTATGTAAAAGATCTCTAATAGGTTAATCCTATCATCTACACCATATTATATGTAAAATCAGCACAATCTACTTCAGTAAAAAAAATTACTATACATACAATTGAATCAATAAGTATTTATAGACATTTGAATCAGTAAGTAACACCATATTGGAGAATATTTAAATTTCAAGATTATTAATTAAATTCCTGCATGCAGCGTCGCGCGCGCCCCTATTAGTTGGTAGCAACTTCTCTTTAAGAATGACCAAAATGTTAATTAGCATGTTTTAATATCTAAACTTATAATATCAGCCTTTAATAGACCAGGTGAGTATCTGTATAATTAGTTATATCTATATCTATATAATTATTTTATATATGAAGGTTTATCTTTATTGTTTCCAGACTAGGTCAAATAATATATATGATTTGAAAAAAGTTTGATTGTGGCAAGTGTAAATGTTTATATGGGTGGTGTAAAAACCACCCTGTAAATTTTCGCACCACGTGTTCTATAGCTGCTCTGAAAAACAAAAATCAATAATCTAATCAATGCATTGCAAGTGCAATAAATATTCTTAACTTAAACATATTCCTATGATGAAAAGTGGTTCAAATTATGAAATAGTTGCCTACCCTGGCCAAAAATTATCTGAAGATAAAATTAATTTGAAGTTGTATATTATAATGTTTTCTCGCTAGCTAAAATAATGCTATCTAGATAGAATCTGAGACTATTGCGTACTGTTTTTACATAGATTTTCTACAATAATTGATAGGCATAGCTTTTGCAGATGGCGTAAAGCGTGGTTTGCGGCACGCATGCCAACCATGCTAGCGTTGGTAGAACAACTACGGTCATACCTCGGTGGAGGATGTGAGTGCGCATGCATGACTTGCATGTCGAATGCTCCAAAATACGTGAAATTGTTGCAAAATAATTCATTTTCTTCATATCGTTACGCCTTTATCATAGATAAAAATTCTGACGATTTTACATACCTTTTTGCAAGGGTTTTGAGTGAAGCTTTTAAGGTTATTGTCATTCCTAGTAATATTTACCAGACAATTTTTGGTGACCTAGAAGTTTGAGTTTTTATAATTTAATAAAATAATTCATGCACTGATTTTGCTCTTTAATAGTATACTAGAATTGTATTTATTAGGTAACTGCCTCTTTGGTCTAGTGGCTAGTATGTACGGCTGCAGATCGTGAGGTCCTAGGCTAGTAAATCTATAGGGTTTTCTATAAAATACTCGCGGCCTGGAGTTCGCCAGTCGGCGGTGTGTACATCCCCATGCCTCGGTAAAGATGTCGGTCCTGAGCCTTATCTCTCACCGGTAGTATCGAGATGTCGCCCTCGGAAGGAAAGACTAATAGAATATGTGCTTGTGGCTGCTCACACTCTTGTGCTTTATATTATGTGGCGCGCAGTTGGCTAGTCTCATAATCAGTGAGATTGGCCGCCGTAACCGAAGTCGGTTAGGAGGACATTATAATCACTGTGAAATTATCTGTGTGATGGTGTTAGTTTTAATATAAAAACCATACAGAATACGACATTGTTATAGTCTCACACTAGAATATATATAAACTAACTAGCAGAACACGCGGCTTCGCACGCTCTAAAACTACAAAAAAATCTCTTAAGAAGTTAGTTTCATACAAACTTTCATCCCCTATTTTACCCCCATATAGGATGAATTTCGAAAAATGTTAAATCGCCTATTTATTTATTTTATTGAAGAGCGTTAATACCTAGTTACAAGTAATTCGGATCATATATATTTTTTGAATTGTATTATAATGTGTTTTGCCGTGGGAATTAGATAATCTCCCGCGGTAAAAAGTAGCCTATGTCACTCTCTGGCCCTCTAACTATCTCCGCACAAAAAACACCACAATCCGTCACTCCGTTTCGACGTAAAAGAAAGACAAACAAACAAACACACTTTTCACATTTATAATATTAAGTATTGATAATAAACTGGTATTTACCTTTGTAATTTATAAGTTGTACTAATAGGTTTATAACTCTACATACGGCTTATAGACCAGGGTCGATAATTTTTAAAACCAAAAAAATAATAATAGTAGGATGAAACCCATTAAGAAAAGGAGGGGAATATTATAAAAATGAAAGGAAAAATAACTTACGGGCGATCTGAGATCGGGAAGGGGATGGGGGTTTGTTTTTAAGGGTAAAAAACGGTTTTTCTCGATTTCCGGCAAAACTAAAAGTCCTATCGAAAAAAGTCATATGGCAAAGTTGTAGGTAATAAAAAGATCTAAAACTTTTGTATTTACACTTTTTTCACATAACCTCAAAATTTATGTGAAAAAATCAAAAAACCAAGTTTTTGGTTTTTTATTTTTATCTTTTACAAAACATTTTTTTTAACGAAATTTGGTGAAAACATACCTTTTTATGTCTCAAATACGCTGTAATTTATTTGATTAAAAATATTTATTTTTTCACCTTATTTTGAATTAATATCGAAAAAGCGTCCTCATTTTCAATTGAAAATTCACCCGTCAAAATATCAGCTTTTTTCAAAAAGTTGATATGTTTTCTGTTCGTTGAAATCTCTATTTTCCGATGGTGAAAAAAATATATATGTTACTATAGTAAATCTTCTGAGAAAATGCAAAAAACAAAAAACCTTTGACATTTATTTCTTTAATATTTTTTTTCATGGGGGTATACTCACGATAAAATAGTGAAGGCATTATTAATTCGATTTTGTCTTTTCAGATTATCAGTATGGATGGATGAATCTGTTTGTATCATCTGCAATAAGGCAGATGATAAGCAAGTGTATGAAATAAAAAAGGTTTTTTGTTTTTTGCATTTTCTCAGAAGATTTACTATAGTAACATATAATTTTTTTTCACCATCGGAAAGTAGAGATTTCAACGAACAGAAAACATACCAACTTTTTGAAAAAAGCTGATATTTTGACGGGTGAATTTTCGATTGAAAATGAGGGTGCTTTTTCGATATTAATTCAAAATAAGGTGAAAAAATAAATATTTTTAATCAAATAAATTACAGCGTATTTGAGACATAAAAAGGTATGTTTTCACCAAATTTCGTTAAAAAAAAATTGATTTGTAAAAGATAAAAATAAAAAACCAAAAACTTGGTTTTTTTATTTTTTCACATAAATTTTGAGGTTATGTGAAAAAAGTGTAAATACAAAAGTTTTAGATCTTTTTATTACCTACAACTTTGCCATATGACTTTTTTCGATAGGACTTTTAGTTTTGCCGGAAATCGAGAAAAACCGTTTTTTACCCTTAAAAACTGACCCCCATCCCCTTCCCGACCTTAGATCGCCTGTAAATTATTTTTCCTTTCATTTTTATAATATTCCCCTCCTTTTCTAATGGGTTGCATCCTACTATTATTTTTTTTCACTTTTTATTATTTTTAAAGGCTTCTACCCTGGTCTATTAGCGCTTCCCCCTCAAATACTATTTGATTTTATGAAATACTACCTACCAGAATTTTTCTTTTGAGAATTTTATATCTACTTATTTTGTTGTAAAAACTGACAATACAATTTTACAAAAAAATGATTTTCATGATCATTGTTATCTTGTCACGCGTACGCCAGAATATGAGACTTGAAATATTAACTTGCGAAACAAAAATTAAATTTACAAAGTTTTACAATTAATTTCAAATACGTTTTCTTTCTTTACCTTATTACATTACATTATACTGTTATTATTATAATTTAGTGAAACCAATGCATGGATTATAAAATTAGATGTTTTCTTAAGAGATTGCTAATGAAGTGAATGTCAAATTTTTTTTACGCCACTAATTTCGAAGAAATTTAGCTTTAATGTGAAATAACAAGTTAGCTAGTAAACTAATATAATATGTATATTATACTACTTGCGTCCGCCGCCTTGCTTGCAATTTATAAAAATGTCTACTGCTAATAATATTAGGCCAGACGCAGACGTATTATTTGATATATATCACTAAAATAATTTCATTTATACTTTATACAATAGATAACTTCATTTCTTACAACTAAACTTTACCAAAATAACTGTTATAATGTATACATATAATAAAATTGTAACTAAGCCGAATCTGTACATTAAATATTTTTTGAAAAATCTTATTGAAATAGACATTATTATCGATAAAGAGGCCGAATCTATAGTTTTTAGAATTTTTGTCTGTCTGTCTGTCTGTCTGTTATCGCATCGCGGAAAAACCACTGAAGGGATTTTGATGAAATTTGGTATGGTGATAGCTGGTTATCCGGTTCAACATATAGGATACTTTTTACCGCTGGAAAATATCTCATTACTGAGAAAAAACTTTTTAACAAAACAATAAAAACCGACTTCAAACAAAAGCACTAAAAAGTGAAAAATAACTGATTGGTAGTTTTCATTTACTATACATACCTAATCAAATATTTTCGAAGTCGGTGTGCTTTGCTTTGTATGGGCTGGCACCGATTTCGAAAATATTTGATTAGGTATGTATTTAATAGGTAGGCTTTAATTACTTAGCCAAAGCACACCGACTTCGAAAATATTTGATTAGGTATGTATAGTAAATGAAAACTACCAATCAGTTATTTTTCACTTTTTAGTGCTTTTGTTTGAAGTCGGTTTTTATTTTTTTGTTAAAAAGTTTTTATTTTTCCCTTTTTAGTGTAGACAGTAGTAGCAAAGTAAGGATTCTAACGTGTTAGGCTTGTCAAATCAAACAAAATAAGCCCAAACTCAAAGTATCTACTATTAGCCGTTGAAGAGTTTCACCTATCCACCTTCTGGCCTTGCCATCAGATCAGGTCAATAACACCGAACCACTGTACTATCAACGAAAATAGAAATACTTGCAAAGTTTCAAGTCAATATGACAATTAGAAGTAGGTTAAGTTCATTATTAGTTGTTTTTCCACCCTTAGGGGTGGTATTTTTTTTTTGAAATTTAAATGGGACCAATCTGGAAGTATATCCTTTCAAACAAAACAAAAATTGTCCAAATCGGTTAATAAATGACGGAGTTCTGAGGTAACAAACATAAAAAAAAAAAACATACAGTCGAATTGAGAACCTCCTCCTTTTTGAAGTCGGTTGAAAAATACAAAAACTGCAATGTAAGAGTATATTAATCTGTAAAACCTAAGAATTTGGTTTTTGGTCATCTGAACGCAGGTGAAGCCGCGGGCAATGCTAATTCAAAATAAATTTTACTTACCATGTATTTTAAATGTATATAAAACTTTTTCTCTATAGAATAATAATACATATTAATAATAATAGGTGACGTGAGAAAATCCTGAATTAAGGTCGATATATACCATAGAGTCCATAGACCGTACCGTAGCTGTATAGTAGAAAGTAATTTAACTTAAACCAAAGTAAATTAAAATGTAAATAACGAAAACTTTATATTCATTTGTTGTATTTTTTTATGATAAGTTAATACCCACGACATATACACCTATTTATTATCCTATAAATACTATTAAGCAATAATTACGGTACTATATGTAGAATTATCACTTATTAAAATTAGTTTCGACAAAAAACGGATTCATAAATATTCTATAATTATAGTGTACTCCATGTTGTTGGTTAAGGATTATAACAGATAAGGTCTAAGAGTATTGATGATGGTGTGCTATTTTTGCTTAATCTAACGCATCTATATTAAATTTTTCTTAGGTCCTCTTGAAAATAAAAAAAATAACAGTTTTATTTATCTGTTTCATTTCAGTGTCGTTCATTCCTTTTCATTGGTTGTCGTAATCAGATAAATCATAATTATGGCTCATAACTTCCTTACGCAAAACACTAAAATATATCCTTCTTTGGAATTTGAACTGAATTCTATATTTGGCTTAAAGGTTTGAACTTTCGATCTTGCAGGTGACGTTCTAATGTGCGTCAGCTGCACAACATCGTAATTTCAAATTTTAATAAAATTGCTGTATTACATTATAAATAAAATAGACGAATGTTATAGTACAATGATAATTTTAATGAGGTAAGAAACAAGCGTCCTTATCTTAAAATTAAAACAGTAACGTGTAACCGCTGTTGAAAAACTCCAATAGAATCCCATCAAAAGCGACAAAAGCCACATAGAACCCAATAAATATTTATAGGTTTCTATGTGGCTTTTGTCGCTTTTGATGGGATCCTATTGGAGTTTTTAAATAGAGACTCTTACTGAATCACTCATATTTTGTCAGTCTTTAATCCTGTCAAACCCTATTTTCTCTGAATCTACTGAACTGTAATGTTCTTAGAGTATTTGATAATGTTTGATACGTAGATAGGTATACATACCTAATATTAATTGCAGCAATAACGAACATAAGGTGTAAATAAATAAATTTAATAGGTCAAACTACAAAATTATAACGTTATAATATATTTATTTATTTAGTTGCCCCTAAATAAATAACAATTTTTTAATTATGCTTCATATCCTTATAAGAGCCTTCCGTCTAACCGACTACTTCCGGCTACTTTGTTATAAGCGATTTCAGGTACAAATTTTGATATACCATATTGACAATTGCCAGGCTCATCGACGCCGTTAGTGTATGTGAACGAATCGTGCCTCGAGTGTGAAAGAGTTCGCGCTGCGTGTGAGCGACTGGGCGTCCTGGCTCCGGTGCGGGCACCGGACTCCCTGCCTACGACGCAGCAACAACCGGCGCCGGCATCCTACTTTGTGACCGCACCTTTTGAGGGAGAACTTTTCGATGCAGCACATAAAGCCAAATATAGGTAAGCATGAAAATTGTATAATTTTTTACTTCAATTTAAACCTATGATGCAGTATATTGTCAGCTGTTTCTTCTATTATACAGCTATTCCTTCATCTGATAAACAATAAGTTAATTAATATTTATATGAGCTTGAACATTATCTTAACAACACTTATTACAAGCGCATACGTATATAAACGGAATATGCATTTACATAAAATACTAATGATTTTTAACAACTAATTATATTATTCCTTTATTACCATGAAGCAGTGCCAAGGTCGCGTAAATGTATTATTTACTAGCTGACAGCCACATAGACGTAGTCTGAGACGATCTTTGAGTTTATGATCCTATGGAATAAAGCACTTGCAGGCTTCCCGAATTTTTCGAACAATAACGTAAAAACCTTACTAGGACTATATGGATATTTAAAACAAAATTAACTAAATCGATCCAGGCGTTCTCAAGCTATGCGTTTACCAATGAACAGAATTCGCTCCACTCGAGTCCCTAAGTTTGAATGGTTTAGCAACACAGTAAAGTAATATTCTTTTCTTTTACGCCAACAACAACAAAAAACGAACAAACCACCAGTTTCATCACATTCGGATCCATGGTTTAGGAACGCTTAGAGGTCAAACATACGAACATTCATTTTATTTATATGTTTAGATGTAGATAAATGAGCGTTCAATATCGTAAAAATGTCTGATCAAAATCAAAATCGAAAAATGTGCTGTTTTAACTGTGCAATCCTCAGTAAATTTAGTGTTTATGTTTATGTAGTTATGTTTAGTGGCCACTAACGGAATAAAAAACGTGTAGATAGCTATAGTGGTAGCACAGTAGGAACGCGCTCGCTTGGACAGCCTATTTATTGAAAGACATGCGAAGGCCGTGTGTAGTGTTTAGGATCATCGTGGAGGGCCTGATCCCCCTTGCATTAAGTCTCGTGTCCAGCTGTAGAACGTTGAAACTTGAAATGGATTAATTATTGTTATTTATGTAGCTCATTGGGAGTACGTTCGCTTTAGAAAAAGTGAATAAAAACTTTTTAACAAAAAAATAAAAACCGACTTCAAACAAAAGCACTAAAAAGTAAAAAAATAACTGATTGGTAGTTTTCATTTACTATACATACCTAATCAAATATTTTCGAAGTCGGTGTGCTTTGGCTAAGTAATTAAAGCCTACCTATTAAATACATACCTAATCAAATATTTTCGAAATCGGTGCCAGCCCATACAAAGCAAAGCATACCGACTTCGAAAATATTTGATTAGGTATGTATAGTAAATGAAAACTACCAATCAGTTATTTTTTACTTTTTAGTGCTTTTGTTTGAAGTCGGTTTTTATTTTTTTGTTAAAAAGTTTTTATTTTTCCCTTTTTAGTGTAGACAGTAGTAGCAAAGTAAGAATTCTAAAGTGTTAGGCTTGTCATACCAAGTAAAGTATCTACTATTAGTCGTTGAAAAGTTCCACCTATCCACCTTCTGGCCTTACCATCAGATCAGGTCAACAATACCGAACCACTGTACTATCGACGGAAATAGAAACACTTGCAAAGTTTCAAGTCAATATGACAATTAGAAGTAGGTTAAATTCATTATTAGCTATTTTTCCACCCTTAGGGGTGGTTTTTTTTTGAAATTTAAATGGGACCAATCTGAAAGTATACACTTTTAAACAAAACAAAAATTGTCCAAATCGGTTAATAAATGACGAAGTTCTGAGGTAACAAACATAAAAAAAAAAACAAAAAAAATACAGTCGAATTGAGAACCTCCTCCTTTTTGAAGTCGGTTGAAAAAGTCTGGTTCAAGCCCCGGGTGATGAAATGAATTACACTGTTTTACATAAAATTTCCATAAAGGCTTTCGGATAAGCACTACTATCTATCGTTTAATCAAACGAAACGAAATCGTTCGAAGAATAATATCTATATTAGCGCCGTCCAATTTATATGGGATGGAGTATGTATACTTACCAGTATACTTTCATGTAATTTGGAGTTTTATATGGAGACTAGCATTGCCCGCGGCTCCGCCCGCGTTCAGATGACCAAAAACCAAATTCTTAGATTTACACATGAGTATACTTTTACATTGCAGTTTTTGTATTTTTTCTCTGAAATGAGACATTTTCCCGCGGTAAAAAGTATCCTATATGTTGACAAAGATAACCAACTATCACCATACCAAATTTCATTAATATCCCTCCAGTGGTTTTTCTGTGATGCGGTAACAGACAGACAGACAGACAAACAAAAATTCTAAAAACTATAGATTCGGCCCTGTATCGATATTAAAGTCTATTGCAATAGGATTTTCCAAAAAATATATTTTATGTACAGATTCGGCTTGGTTACAATTTTATTATATGTATTGGGAAAATTGGTATGACCCCTAATGTAGAACGTGTTGTGTGTGACTTAAAACAGTGACAGACATTTAACGAATTATTGTAATTTTTAAAGGACCTTTAACTTCGATGTCTATTCCAATTACCGAACAATACAGAATGAACAATAAACATGCTATATGTGTGTAAAGTAATTATGAAACGATTGCTTTCTATTACTTATTACGTATAAAAGTGGGTCACAATTTTAATTGTTTCTAATGTATTGGAGCATGTTTAGATTGTAATAGTCGGATCGTTGTCAATGATTGAATAATATGCCTTTTAAAAACCTTTGCGCATTTCCTGTTGAAAAACTCCCAATAGAATCCCATCAAAAAACCACATAGAGACCAATAAACATTTATTGGTTTCTATGTGGCTTTTGTCGCTTTCGATGGGATCCTATTGGAGTTTTTAAATAGGGTTTTCAGTTTAGATTATTAACATCGTAATAATGAGACAATGTGAGCTTGTTTTATGTAGCGTTAAATCAAAACGTTTGTATTTACTTTATTTTACGTACTTTCATTGTTTCGGCGTATAACCGAATACCAGTTGATGAGATTAATTGTTTATTATTTTTTACGCCGCCGTCGCGCCGCTTGTTTGCTCGGTGAAAATTAATTTTGGATATCTTCTTATCACTTTTCTCGGGACCGCTTCTGAATCATATTGCATATTGTTCTGGTCATTATTGACTATAAAAAACGATACGAAGTGATAGTCATACTTTGCTTAGTATCTAAAGCGAATGTTTTAAATTCGAGAATCGTCCTTTATTGTTTTAATAGAGACAATTATACAGACAGAGGCACAAATCAGTACCTATACTTTTTCGCATTATAGTATAGTAAAGATATTTAAAAAAAATCGTATTAATAATTAGATAACATGTTAAGTTCATAAGATAGAGGTAAAACAGATACACAAAAGGGATTTGTGTAACATTTCTGAATGTGTCCCCGATAAGTCCCTCTGGATCAAAAATGAAAAGTCCAGACCATCAATAACATAGTTAAATAGGTGTTATCAAGATAACACTTAGTACTTCTATACTAAAGTTGTTTTGGGGCTTGTTAAAACCCCAAAAAACTGTCAGATTGTTATTTAGGTACGTGCTGTAAAATGAATGAACCACGAAGGGTTTATAAAAAATATGTTTTTTTAATGTAAAGTTAATTTCTAAGTTTTATCGACTTAGGATGTCACTTAGGAAATATCGTAAAGTGGAATTATAATTATTATACTAGCATTGCCCGCGGTTCCGCCCGCGTTTAGATGACCGAAAACCAGATTCTTAGGTTTTACATATTAGTATACTGTTACATTGCAGTTTTTGTATTTTTTCTCAAAAATGAGATATTTTCCCGCAGTAAAAAGTATCCTATACGTTGACCCGGCTAACCAGCTATCACCGTACCAAATTTCATTAAAATCCCTCCAGTGGTTTTTCTGTGATGCGGTAACAGACAGACAGACAAAAATTCTAAAAACTATAGACTCTGCCTCTACAGAGATCGATACATCGATAATAATGTTTATTTCAATAAGTTTTTCCAAAAAATATTTAATGTACACATTTGGCTTATTTACAATTTTATTATATGTATAGAATAATGTTTTATCGACTTAAGATGTCACTTAGGAAATATTGTAAAGTGGAATTATAATTATTATACTACCAATAAATGTGTAATGAATTTATGGTGTTTTAAATTAGCCATAAAAACGTTGTACCGCTATTTTAACTTAACATGGATTACATTAAAACGATCAGTAAAATTAAATACACTGCGTGACTGCTGGCGCCGCGACACGCAACAACAATTTAATAGCCAACCTTACCCTGAAATTACTCTGGGGTTCTTAAACGTTCACAGAACCTTCTACTAATAAAAACTGTAGCTTAGCGTGTTACACGGAACGATGTAAATAAAGGTGCGAGTAGGTGTAGCATGAGGCGACGACGCGACGCTCGGCGTAGCGCGAGGGTCGCCCTTGCGGCCGCGCGACGCTCCTTGCTATTTTCGGCCTTACATTCCTCACGGCTGTTTTCCAATCTAACGTGAAACGCATAACGCGCGTGCCGCTTGCGCTTTGTTTCGGTATACTTTCATACAATTTCTTCTGTTAGCGTGATGATTTTAGATTATTAATTTGATAATTAAAGCTACGTTTGGATATTTATGTAAATACTAAAACAAATTTCGTTCATGGCTATGTACGATCTTGCAGTTAATTGTAACCAATGTGTCACCAATGTGTGGATTTTGCACCGGACTAGTGTCTGATTATATTACTCAGTGAAGTGTCAGTAGAGTAAGTCATATTGTAAAATGGGACCCACGCGGTTGCCGCCGACACCCGAAGAAGAGGAACTTCCTCAACAAATGAATGATCCAAAAACTCCCGAAATTCATTCATCTAAATACGAAATGTAAGGTTTATGTGTGTAACGAACAATTAATTATAAATCACTCTAGTTAATTTAAACTACCTCTTCTATGGACACACATCTCTGGATAGGGTCATTACAAAATAATAAAATTATAACTCACTATTAGAAAATAATGTTTAGCTTACCAAGAATCACTACTTCGTACTCGCACTA